TTTTCTGGATTTTCTTTCTGGTAAATTTAATCTAATACCTATGTTGCCATATTATCAAGAAATTATGTTTTTAAACTAAAAACTAAATAAATTTTTCAAAAAATTTCGAATTCTCAATTTTTTTTTGCGAAAAACTTTGAAAATTTCCAAAAAAAATGATTTTTTGCTAAAATGTCGAGAACCACTGGATCTTTTCTGGATTTTCTTGCTGGTAAATTTAATCTAATACCTATGTTGCCATAGTATCAAGAAATCATGTTTTTAAACTAAAAACTAAATAAATTTTTCAAAAAATTTCGAATTTTCAAATTTTTTCTTGCGAAAAAAACCTCATAGGCGTGTTTCTGGGGTTGAACTATAAGTACTACCAGTTAAAATACTTGCACTTATTTCTGGGGCACCCTGTATAAGTCTCATTAAATCGAAACCTCGAAATTAGTAGTTTCAATTATAATTTATTATTAAAATATTCAAATATAAATATAAAATATAATACAATCATTCAAATGTCTAAAAAAATCAATTAAAATTAATACAGTATGATCGAAAAAAACGGCGTCCAGTTGTCTTTAAATCAATGACATTTCCCATATAAAATGACAGCGATCTTCATTAAATAGCCATCGCTGACGCCGTTTTTTTTTTGATCATACGGTAGAATACCCTAGCAACAGATTGCTGTAGTCAGTTGTATCAATAGAGAAAGCCTAATTTTTAATATACAGGGTGTTCCTTAATGACATGCTAATATTTAAGGGCGTGATTCTTGGGCCAATTCTAAGAGAAAAACTTCATATGAATGTATGTCCTAAACATTTTAATTTCTGAGATACAGGGTGGTAAATTTTTCTATTTTTTTTTTCATTATAACTCTGATTTTATTACAGATATCATTATGAAACTTAATACACGACTTCTATGCATCAAAATACCTTTTTTGGTGTACAAAAATGTTTATTTATTTCAACCAGTGCCGTCCATATGGGTTTTACATTGAATATTTTTGGAGAAAAAACTGATTTCTCTCAAAATAAAAAATATTTTCAAAATGAAGTTTTTTTTTCTTAGAATAAGTCTAAGAATCACTTCCTTAAATATTAACATGTCATTAAGGAACACCCTGTATAATGTTAATATTTAATTTTTAACCACAAATTCTCTTGACAGGTGTCAATCAGAGACCAAAATAACATTACTCGCAAATTTTGAAGTATCATTAGTGGCAAAAGTTGAATGTTTGTTACCTTTTTCAATTAATTGAAAATTTATACCACAGATTTTCAAGGTTCTGAAAGAATGAAGCTATATCGAACGTATAAAAATCAGATACCTATTTTCAAGATATACTCAAACCGAACATTCATGGATTGTTACTGTTTTTCTTTCACATTTTCTGAAATAAAATTTGAATGTGTTTCTTCAAAAAAAAATGGTAAAACCAGAAAAACATCGCACATCGGCAACGTCGCACGCGACCCTCAAGTAGACCAGCCTAAAAAAATCAGGCTAAACCGAGGTCACCGGAATATAGTAATCTCGAGACGGGAAAAGATTTTTTTATAAATAACCCGTATTTTCCGACGTAATTTGACATTTAGATTAAACAAATTTAACGATAAAAATATACTTGAGCGTGTATCATTAAAAAAAAACGAAACCTACCTTGCTAAGGCCATCTTAACTAGATAATCCACACTTACGTCTCAGACGGACACTTTCTTTAATCAAGCGGATAAAAAAAGACACAATAAGCACAACTGTCCTTTTTCAAGTTCAGTTTATCAGGTATCTCAAAGTTTGACAACGCTGCGATCTCGGCAATAAGAAATAACGTATCGAACTGCATGCGCACCGCACATACTACCAGATACGACACTCAAACTGCTGTTCGCCGAAAACTGAGTCGTTGGATTTTCTCGGAGAGCGACAACACGCGTTCTGTCAAACCCTCCCCCTCTGCGCACACCCTCGGGGGCGTGGTCAAACGGTGAGCGGCGTTGCCGGCTGGAGCGAAGGGAAAGGACGAGGGCATGCAGGCGGATAGAAAGTCTATACAGTGAAAAATCGTTAAATTCGTAGTGCCTTTGTATCAGGTATACGGTGAATATGAGAAGTGTATCTTTCATAATTCCTGGCATATAAATGTGATAACTAAGTCCAATAAAAATCTTTTTAATACATTTTTTCTATCATATGAGATACAGGGTGTCCCAGGATGAGCGTACATTAGAAGTTTCTAGAGAACCACAATATCTAGATCGGAGATTTTTTTCACATAATTGTTTCGCATTGAGATCTATCGATTAAAAATATTTTCAATATGGCGGCACTTTCGGAAATACCGAAAGTTGACAACAACTTTCTTATTTTAAATGGGTTACCCCCATTTTTTATTATAGATTTAAATTCTCTGTACGCTTTTATGAATTTTGATATTAAACACTCTATACTCAACATTAACCGTTTTTGAGAAAAAAAAATTAATTTTTGGAGGAAAAAAACTGCCTGTCAAAAATTTTTATAGTCTCAACGTCAAATTTAGTGATTACCACAGCCACTGTGACATAAAGAGAAGACATGTGGCTATATATGTATTTCAAAAATTAAATGGTTTGAATGTCATATACCTAATATTGACCGTAGCTGTCATGGAATCGAGAGATTAAAAAATTATCATAAATATGTTTTTTTTCAAATGGAAACCCATTTTTTTATTTCACTAGTGAAATGTTTTTTTAATTCGCTACTTTTTGATTATACATATTCCTATACCTAAAATAAATCGTTTTTAAGTTATTTAATTTAAGATTTAGTTTTAAAGCGTATATTTTTCGGGTTTTTAACCAGTAACCTAACTAGTTTTAACCAGTAGTTTTTAACGCTCAGTCTGGGACACCCTGTATACCAAGATATCACCCATAAAAACTGATGAGACAGAAAAGACCTCGGAAAAGACATTCTAATAAATAAGACAACACTGGAAATAGTAGAAAAATATACAGGGTGGTCCGAATTGTATTTGGGATACTCCGGCAGCTTAATCTGCAGATAAAAATAAATAAAAAAGTTCGTATTAATGATATCCTAAAATGATTCGTTGCGGTGATACAGGGTGTACGTTAAAAATATTATTATTAGACCAGTTAAAAATATGTAAGTGGAAGCCCTACCATTAGGACACACATTGACATCGAAATCAAATTTCTCGTGTCAAAAACCTCTCAGATACCAATTTTCATCCAAATAAAGACGTTAGTTCAGAAGTTATTTGGAAAAAATCGAAATAAAAATGAAATTTCTACACCCTGTATCTACGAAACGGTGCATTTTACCGACATCAATTTAAAGGAACTTTTTTACTTACCTTTATCTGTAGAATATGTAGAATACAATTCGAGCCACCCCGTATACAGTGTGGTGTACTTAGTATACAACATTATGGGATTTTTTTTTATTAGAAGTCCCATCCTGGATTGGGAACTCTGTCAAAAGTTAGTGAACGTCCAATAACGATATCAGCGGTACTTGCTTAATGACTGCAAGTTGAACAACCTACAGTGTAGGTCAAAAATACGTACGTAAGTTTTGCGGGTGTTATAAATAATATTTACAATATATTTAGGTATGTTTTTTCGGTACATAGATGGTATTTACATATGAAAAAATATTTTGGGATTCCTAAACATAAACTAAGTACCCTGGCAACGGTAATAATAGACGTAAATGTAAAAAAAAATCTTCTGTAGATTATAAGGGCTTCTTAGCTCAGTCAATGGCAAAATACCCAACACTAGTCTGATTTAAGTTCAGTGTCTTTGTAAGCGTTCTTTGTAATGTTGCAAGCTAAAGAAAGACACCCTGTGGGTTATAGAACTGTAAGTAAAAATATGAAGAAAATATCTAACTGCTCCTGTAGATTTGTAGATTAAATTCAACTTCAAGGCTAAACTAAGCCATTTTAAAGTAGTATATAAAATTTCAAGTGCCTAGACTGTTTCAATAAAACAAAAAATGACTTTGACTTACTATGCTCCTTTGTTCAAACTCATATCAGCTACCCCTGAAAGAGAAACATAAATATAGTAGAATAAAAGTTGATATTGAAGATTGAAGGACAAATCATTTTATATCTGACTAAAGAAACAACCACAAAATGCTATCAGTAAGTTGAAAAAACCTCAACTATTTACTGAAAGATTATTTACGGACATATGCAAACTCAGCACCCATACTTGATCACAATTTTCTTTTATCATTAAGATGAAATAAAAAAATATCCTTAATAACGTATTTTCACATTTTAATCTATCCCCACCCTTGTGCATAACTATATCAATTACATACAAATATATTGCTTTTAAACCCCTCTCTAGTCAACTATAACAGATGATTATTAAATTAGGCTATCTCAAGTGAAGAAAATGAGCTAGCAAAAGCGTTTTTCTGCTATTTTCAGCACTTTAAATTAATGAATGCAGAGTTAACCTTCAAATTAGATATTAAGTCCTACTCACCAGTTGTTGCATAAGGATCGGTGCTGCTGGCACAGGGTGGACCTGGGACTCGTTTCAAATAGGAAAACTAAAGAAAAACTGTTTGATCTCTTAACACGACCAACGAACGTCTTTAAAAATCACTATTTAACAAAATATTGTGGAAAATTTAAAAATACACATACCACACAAACAAAAACTTATGTGACATTTGACAGTCCGTAGTCCGTGGTCTGTCAAATTGTTGGATAAAAAATATAGGAGATTTCGATTGATTGTTATATGACCCTCCTTTAAAAAAAATCAAGGAATTATTAAGGTTTCTAAGTTCAGTTTTATACGCAAATTGATATTTAAATTAATTTGTAATTATATTTGAAAATACTGTACTTATTAAACAGGTATTAAGCGAGTATATATTTTTTATGTTAGTCTCGTCGACAAACACTGTTCTGTGGTTATCTGTTATCTTACGTCATTTCAGTCAATAAAATATTTTGTTAATTTTAAAATTTTTGAACTATTTAATATTTAAGTAAAAGATAAATTTAGAATGGGCGAAAAAATGGTAGTATTTTATGTGATTATTTCTGAAAAGGCTAACTATTTTTATTCACCGTAGATTTGACAAAGAGAACCAACAATAAATTATTAGAAAAAAAAAATACAAGATGATAGTGAAAACTGAAGAACCTACTAATTCGAATCAAAACCAAGTGATTATTCACTACCGAATTAATTTTAAATACGTATGTCTTTATACAGTATCTATACCTTTAGGAGCACTAATCGTATGTCTTATATCCGCTTATATATTCCAATACGATGATGTACATGAAACTCATTGTCAGGTAATTTAACTTTTAACTAACATAGTAGTGGATTTTATAAATTAAATTTTATAGGTTTTTAATGTTGTACCTTCTATAAGTGCAGTGACTGGTATTAGTCCTCAAAAATACATTTGGAGAATTAGTATCGCGTTGCATATTGGACCAAGGGTTATAATATCTGCTGTGTACAAGGCATATCAGTTCAATATGATCAATCCTTTTGGAGAATCTCATGTGAGAGTTCTTGTCGTATGTTTGTTATTTTAACTAAATAAGTTTCATTTATTTTCAGTTAAAGTCTAAAGCACAATTATGGCTTAATATTGCCTATTTTCTTAATCTAATCGAAACAGGAGCACTGTGTGGTGTAACATATATTTCAAATAGAGAAAACTATCGTAAGTATATTTATATACCTTTTTTCAAAGGGCGTTCTTAATCTTAAGATTTTTTTATCTTTTAGCTGTTCATGAAAAATTGTTTATCACATTTATGGTAAGTAGTTTGGGGCACATGGTAGCCTGTATTAAAGGAACCAGATATGCTGCAGAGAGTAGAGACGACATAGAATCAGTAAAGGAGGGTTTGAAATATAAGAGGGATTTACTGATGCTGTCTCTAATGTGTACAGCTGGATTGTTGTTCTTCTTTCTTCAACATCGACTCTTTTGTTTCAGAATGGGTAAAGTATTAATTATAGTCTATTTAAAGAGGTAAAAACGGCGTCATGTTTGCTGTGTTTATTTATTTTTTTTTAATTCCTAATACATTTCTGAATAATTTTTTTCAGCTTTTAGTATGTTCGCCTTGTGTGAATACATAATAGCGGCGGCTAATATGGCGTTCCATATTTCTGTTGTCTGCGATTTTCCTACTGAAGACTTGATAGTGGGGAAAATAATTGATGATCAAACGTTTATAGACGACTGTTCGGGAGATTGCAAGAAATTCCAGTAGCGTCTCAAAGTATTTTCTCGTTTTTAATTATCAGTCTCTCGGATAATTTAAAATTCCACATCTTCCAAAAATTTGTTTTCGAAAGATACAAAAATAAAGCACAAATAGCATCTTTCAATAATTAATATTAAATTGTAATGAGTCAATTTAGAATCTGTAGAGGCTTTTGAGTCCCGTGATGCTATTTATAGAGTAATTCTTCATCAATTTGATAAAATTCTAGATTTATTAGTAACAATACAGGGCGTAAAGGAATAAGCGCAAAAAATATTTTATTAAAAATAAGAGGGCCATCCATTAATTCGCCACATTAATTGGGGGCGTCACATTAATGGTGAATGGTGAGAAAATCTAGGGGGAGGGGGTCAAGATGAATCGCATTAAATTTTAAGTAGGGGTGAGAGGAGTTTGGTTTGGTTGTCAAATATCGCGTAATTTTTTTCGTGCAAGAAATTATGTATGCAGGATGTCCCAGGTTGAGCGTGCATTAGAAGTTTCTATACAACCACAATGTCTAAATTGGAGATTTTTTGTTCACATCTCTGTTTTACAACAAGATCTATCCATTAAAAATATTTTCAATATGGCGACACTTCCGGAAATACCGGAAGTTGACAACAACTTTTTTATTTTAAATGGGTGTTCCCATTATTTATTACATACTTAAATTCTCTGTAAAATGTGCTATCTCTAGCGATTTGACCTCGCTGGCAAATTTTAACCCTTAATAACTTTTTTTCTAAGAAAAAAATATCTACATTTTTTTCGGCCATTCGATAGAGAATTAAAAGCTCTATCTCTGTGCAAAATTGCAGCTCTATCGGAGATACTTTAATTTTTAGGTCAAAATTTAGCAAAGGGGTTGGGATAATAAAGGCCTTAGATTTTCTAGAGCCGAAAAATTAAAGTATCTCCGATAGAGCTGCAATTTTGCATAGAGATAGAGCTTTTAATTCTCTATCGAATGGCCGAAAAAAATGTAGGTATTTTTTTCTTAGTTTTTGAGATATTTACGGTTTTCAAAAAAAATCTAACTCTTCTAGCTCGTTGGTCAAGTATTTTAATTAATTTATTATTTTATTTATTAGTTTTTAAAAATGCATTTTTAAAAAGAAACCTTCACCATTTTGTCAAGAAGATCAGAATTATTTTTGACTGTAAATTGTTGGATTCGTTGGCATCACTTTATACCATTTGAAAGTAAATATTGTGTACAGGGTGTCCCATTTTCGTGTGTTTTATGGGAACAACTGAATTTACTTTGATTTTCGAAGGACTATATATCGTTTATGTATTTCAGGCTTTGCAAATTCTTTTAATTATTTAAGCTTAATATTTTTTGATATACCTAGGTTGGAAAATAAAATACATTTGTACATATAATAAATTTATTCATGACAATAAGTATAATCGTAGTGGGTATATATTTCAGCTTTACAAATACAACGTGCAGTAGTATTAACATATCAATCGAATATTCTTCGGAGATCGGAATAGGCCTATGGTTGGTTCGCTGCTCAAGTGGGCTGTGGAACTCTGGAGCAATCTGAAACAAAGAATAAAAATATGAAATTGAACCGGTTGTGTTAACACTGCAAATAATCAATAAATAAAATTTAGATAATTTGAAATTCCGTAATTTTTTACAACTAGAATTAACTAAAATATATATTTTGAAGAGATACTAGTTTTAAAAATATAAATATTTAAATTTTAACTTAAATTATGTAAAAACATTTGCGTTTGTACTGAATGAGTCTTTACTTATATCTTACTTGTCAGGTAAGGCGGATTAAATATTAGCATATACACTGGAAGTTGTTTTGCCTATGGTTTTATCTCTGAAAGTAACTGAAAAAAAATCATGCAATTTTACTACAAATTTGTACTGTATGATCGAAAAAAGAACGGCTTCCTGTTGGCTTGGAAACGAACATTGATGAAATTTCCCTTATAATTTTACAGATTAAATGACAGCGATCTTTATTTCATAGCCATCACTGACGCCGTTTTTTTCGATCATATTGTATATTTCTATGTAATTTTTTTTTTCAGTGTATAGCCCAGTCAATCTGGAGGTTAAGTAATTTAGTAACCAATGAGTCTCAGCGGGAATGTGTAGATAATGATCTATTTAACCCAGTCAAAAGTCGGTCCCAGTGGGGAAAGTTTGAAAAAACCTAAACCAAATAAGTTGGCCTATGTATGTCACAAATTATTACCTAAACTGAAAATCTAAAAATACTATCATGTAGCTTTGATAAAGTGGCCATGGAATTAGTTTTAGAATTTTCTAAAAAGTAGCGACAGGAAAAAATAAAATTGTTTTTCGAAAAAATCGATTTTTTTAAATAACTCAGCAATACTTGAAATTTTTGAATCTTATTGAATGGCATCATGGTGGACATCCCAGGGCGGAAATTTGTCCAATTTAACGATGTTCGTATCTATTACAGTTTCCGAGATACCAATGCTCGTACCTCGAATTTGCAGCACCCTGTATACAATAAATATAAATTAAATCAGCTCACGGTCTTTGAGGGGTTAAATAGGAGACGATTATCTACACATCCCCGCTGAGATTGGTTGGTTACTAATTTTTTTCCACCTTTACATTATAATACTCTGCTACCATTTACTATACTAGTAGGCAAAACGACAGTTTTGTTGTAAAACTGAATGATCCTGTCATAGTATTCAGTCAAATAAAACGTCTTTTTTGGTCTACACGTAATAATTTACTTGATACGTTTTGCCTGAGAGGTAAAACGTTAGGTGTACACGGGGCTTAATATTGTTTATTTTGTTGGTTCCTATACATTCTCCATTTAATAAAATGCCAAATAATGAAACCAGAACTATTTTTAAGTTATGTGATCCTATATTATATTTATCAGATTTAGAGTCTATATGAGGAACTTAGATGCAAAATCCCTCCTTGATTGAAATCTATTACTAATAAATAATAAGAATAGAGCATAAATTTTAGGGAAAATTAATTATTTTTAAAACTAATTTATGATTTTTTCAAGAATAACTAATATTTTTACAATTTACTGTAATTTTCCAACTTTTTGCAAAGAGTGACTTTTGCATCTATCATCTCTATGTCTTGTATTTTTCCCAAAGAAAAAAATGTGATATTTTGCCTTTATCTAGTCATTTTTTTATGCTTTACAAATTTATTTATATATTGTGGCTCTCTATGTATTATCTTATATTTCTTGATATAGTAATATGTATATACGTAAGTTACTTTATATTGAAGTTATTCACTATAGGAATATTTAAAGAGTCTACAAGTCTGCTGAGGGGACTTCCATATTTGTAGATTTTTGATTAAATTTAAGTCCTAACCATGTTTTCCAAAGGTTCTTACTCTGTACCTTTTGCACAATAAATATATAGTTAAAAAAACAACCTTTTTTTGTAAAAATTTATTTAAAACCCTGGAATTATTTTTCCTCTCTTCGATGCACTTTTCATTTTCTTAACTTTCTTGTCTTTTTTCTTTTTGTCTATGTTCTCTTTCCGTTTCTTTTGCCGTTGTTCTTTTGACTTCTCTACTCCATGTATCCTAGCTTCCCACTTCTTTTTACTAGATCTCACTTTTTGTTCCTTCTTTTTTACCGATTTTTTCAGTAACGTCGGGTCGTCTTTGACTTTCTGGCCTTCGGCTTTAGCCAGGGCATTTTTCCAAGCTTTCTTTTCTTTAATTTGTACTACTTCGTGAATGTTACCTTCTTGTTCAAGCTTATCTAATACCTGTTTTTCTTCATTTATTTCTTCTAACAGTTTCTTTGGATCTTTCTTGTGCTTTTTGTGTTTCTTTTTTCCTAAATTTGCAAAGTCTATTTTGGAGTAAACTAGTTTATTTTCACTATTAAACATAGGCTTATTATCTTCTGTTACCTCTTCTTTAATCTCTTCCTTAATAGCAATTTTAGCAGCTCTCTCTAACTTTAACTTTGCCTTTCTTTCAACCTGTTTAGTTTTCTTCTTTAAACGGTTCTTCAAGCCTTTTTTTGCCAATTTTTCTTTGTAAGAGAGCCTTTTCTTGTTGCTTGTTATCGTTTTAAGGCGTTCTTCTAATTCTTGAAGCGATTTTGCTCTAGGCTTCTTATCAGAGGTTGTATCAATTTGATTACCATTTTCTACTTCCTCATCTGCTTCGTCAGTGCCTAAATTTTAGTTATACATTTATAATTCTGTTAGCTAAATAGATTAGACAAGAACTTACTTCTCCTTTGAGGAAAGGCGACTATTGAAAATAGGTGCGAGATAAATTGGTTTTCGTTGCGAAGTATCTGCTGGATCTTTTTATTGTCAAATTTGGTGTCTTTTTCAATTAAAGGCATTTTTAAAATTCAAAAGCATGTATATTTTTATGAAAATTAAATTTAGAAGGTTAGAAAAGTAACTTTGGTCTGAAGTTAGACGCTAAATTTTGTCAAATTGAAACCACAGATGAGGTAAAAGTAACAGGGATGGGTCTGTTTCAAAATTAGATCATATACGAAAATGTAATATATGATTTAGAGTAAGAAATGGACATTTTGTTTCATACTCTGTTATTAGAAATTAACAATCCTTACAAAAGAAAAAAAACTACTATAATATGAGCTTATACGCTTTATTGTGTCATGCTACAATCTAATAGAAAATACAATACAAAATAATATAGACAAATTCAAAAAAAGATACAGTTTCAATACTTTATTCACTTTCTGATCCTGAACGCGATTCTGACCCAGACCTGGATCTAGAGCCAGATTTAGACCTAGATCGGGACCTGGACCTTGAGACAGACCTAGACTTTGACCCAGAGGGCGACCTGCTCTTAGATTTACTCTTAGATCTGGATCTTGATCTTGAACGGGATTTGGACGCAGATCTTGATCTTGAAGGGGATTTGGAGGAGCGAGATCCAGACCTTGATCTAGAGGGTGACTTGGAAGCTGATTTGGACCTTGATCTTGATTTGGATCTTGATCTGGACTTGGATTTTGATCTTGAGCGTGATCTCGATCCACTGGCTGATCGCGATCTGGATCTAGATGCCGATTTTGATTTACTCGAGGATCTCGAGGAGGCTCTCGATTCTCTGACGCCATTTTCTTTGTCATTTTGCTCTTCGTTGCTCTCATTTCCACTATCTTTTGTCTCTTCCTGCTCTTGATCGGACTCTGCATGACTGTCGTCGCCTTGTTGCTGTTCTTGTTCATCTTGTTGCTCTTCCAATTCCATTTCTTCGTCATCTTCACCTGAAATACAACATACCATACAGGGTGTGCCACAAATTGGGTTTAAAAATAAAATGTGTATTAAAAAAAAATACTGAATGTTAATATAATATACAGTGGTCCCCAAAAATACGATGTATAAGGGAATGGTAAAGTCAACAGAAAAGTGAGGTTTAAAAATAAAATGTGTGTTTTGAAAAATATCGAAATTCAATATACATACAGAGTGCGCCAACAAGTTCAGTGTATGACTATAAAAATCCTTAAAATTTTGGCTTACAAATAAAATGTGCCTTTTAAAATAATGAAATTTAATATAATATACAAGGTGCCCCAAAAAGTGCGGTGTTTAAAAAAGTCCATGAGAATGCTATAGCCAACAGAAAAGTGAAAATTAAACAAATTATCTGTAAAAATCCTTAAAATGTTAGCTTTAAAAAATAAATTGTGTGTTTTAAAAGAACTGAAATTTCATATAATATACTGGGTTAGCCAAAAGTTCAGTATATAAAAAGTCCATGAGAATGGTATAGCCAACAGAAAAGTGAAAATTAATAAATTATCTATAAAAATTCTTTAAATTTCACTTTAAAAATAAATTGTGCATTTTAAAAGAAATACTGAAATTTCATATAATATACAGCGTGCGCCAAAAGTTCGGTAAATAAAAAGACCATGAGAATGGTATAGCCAGCAGAAAAGTGAATATTAAACAAATTATCTGTAAAAATCCTTAAAATTATGGCTTTAAAAATAAAATGTGTGTTTTAAAGGAAATACTGAAATTCGAAATAATATACAAGGTGCGCCGAAAAGTTCGCTGTCTAAAAAATGTCAAAAAGAATGGTAGTAATGGTAGTGAGCAGAAAAATTAAAATTAAACAAATGATCTATAACAAACCTGAAAATTCTGGCTTTAAAAACAAAATGCGTGTTTAAAAAAATACTAAAATTTAATATAATATACAAGGTGAGCCAAAAAGTTCGGTGACCGAAAAAAAATGTTTTGTTTACAAAAAAGTCAAAGAGAAGTGAAATTTATAGAAATTATCTATCAAAATCTGGTAAATTTTGGTTTTAAAAATAAAATATTTTTTTCAGTTTTTTTGAGCAAACCTATAATCTCTAAAATTGTAATGTAGTAGTGTACCTGGCGGTTCTAACTGCTTTTCTCTGTACCGCTTCATCTTGAATTCCATTTCATTCATCGGTCTATGTTTAACAACCAGCCTGGTGTTACTGGGACCTTGACCAACCTTTTGCCTTCTCTTACTCAGTCTTACTCGAGTCTCTAACTCATTGTAATAGATACCATCTTGTCTCACCACAAAGAAATAATTCTCTTCATAGCCTAAATAAAATAATATAAAATTAAGCTATTCCTATGCACAATTAAGTGACTAGTAATAATTTACCTTTACTAGCTTTGCTTTTGACATTCCAGTTGTATTCTCTAGCCATTTTATATTCGTATTCTTCATCATCCCGATACGTTACATTATTAGCAAAGTCTTCTCTACGTTTAGTCAATGTTTCCTCAGTTGGTAAGAAGTATGCAACGAATTGTTCACCGCTTTCATCCATCACACCTCTAAAACACATTTTTTATTACCATACATTAAAAAAAGTAAAAAAAAAAATAAATAAAAAAAAAGACAAAATAAAATTTAAAGTCTAAAATAAAAAAAAAGTCTTAAAAAAGGAAAAGAAATGTCTAAAAATCGAAAAAGTTATTTAGTCTTTCAAACTTACCGAATCATTGCTTGTGACATTTCTTCAATCTGAGCTGGAACCTGCTTTCCTACTGGAGCAGGATCAGAATCAAATATGACCTGAGCACAAGGATATTTCCACAAGTTAAAGTCAGGATACAGAGGCAAAACTTCAACAGGCGTAACATTTGGCTTACTATAATGCTTTTCAATAGGCACCTTTGTATCGGAAAATGTTTTCTCGATAGCTTCGATTTGAGAATCACGGTCCATATAAAGTGTTTCACTATTAAATGACTTCTTAATACTAAATCCAACCTTTGCCTCGACTTTGTCCATAGTTTGAGGCTGGAACCTGGTCTGTTCCGTCGAAATATATTCAGTTCTACGCAACCAGGACACAGATTTTGCATGGTGCCGGGATCTTTTCGAATCCTGTGGCGTCAGGATGTCTTCTTCCAGTAATTTCTCATCTGCCGGGTCTAAAGTAGCCCCGTGATCGACGGCATATATATCTTTATTGATTAAGTCGATACTAACGCCTAGATCATGTTCTGTTAACACTTCATAGCGGTAGTTTCTTTCTAAAGATGTAGGATTGTACTGAATAAACCTGGACGACTCAAAAGGGTAGGAAATAAACTTTAGATCAAAGGGTATATCCGGAAGAGTGTTACAGTACTTTACTTTGCATATTAAATCCGACCTAAAAAGAATAAAAATATTTAAATATGGAATACGCATAAACGCCTGTATTTAGTACCTTTTTTCAACAGGTTTCGTCGGCCTTTCAGGGCGTTTTTCAACGGGATTTGACCCGTTCTGTATTGTAGGAGGCATGGCCCCAAATTAACTTAACATAAAACACCTTAAAATATTAATATAAACTAAAATAATGAACGCTCTGCTAATATTGGCTACCATTGACTTTTTGATTGACAGTTGATCGACGGCCTTCGCATGCTATTTGCGACGTTGTCAATATCATTATTTTATATAATTTTCTACTGAAGTGAAGTTATGTTATAAATTTTATTTATTGATTATTTGCAGTGTTAACACAACCGGTTCAATTTAATATTTTTATTCTTTGTTTCAGATTGCTCCAGAGTTCCACAGCCCACTTGAGCAGCGAACCAACCATAGGCATGGTACAAAGAATACAAGGTATGATATTGCGCAGGTTGGTCGCTACGTCACAGGTGATAACAGGCGCTATTGGTCAGCACGCTCCGCGCGCCAGTTTAAATCGTCACGGTATTGTTATAAACCTGTTTTTTTGTTTATATTTTCGTTAGTATATTCTGTGGTTTATATACCGTCATTGAATTATCGCTAAGCAAGTAACTATGGAGCAGTGCGTAAGGAGTTGGGCTAGGAAGCGAGAGACCGGGGTTCGAATCTCGGCGGGACATAACTTTTTTTTTTAAATACTGTTGTATTCTATAGTTTATTTTTGTAGTATAAAAGAAAGAACTATTTATTCTGTCCCCATAAAACACACGAAAATGGGACACCCTGTACACAATAATTAATTTCAAATGGTATAAAGTGATGCCAACAAATCCAACAAATTTACAGTCAAAAATAATTCTGACCTTCTTGACAAAATGGTGAAGGTTTTTTTTTTTAAAATGCTTTTTAAAAAAATTTTAAATGATGCCACCAAATTTACAGTCAAAAATAATTCTGATCTTCTTGACAGGTGAAGGTTTGTTTTTAAAAATGCATTTTTAAAAACTAATAAATAAATTAATTAAAATACTTGACCAACGAGCTCGAAGAGTTAGATATTTTTTGAAAAACGTAAATATCTCAAAAACTAAGAAAAAAATACCTACATTTTTTTCTGCCATTCTATAGAGAATTAAAAGCTCTATCTCTATGCAAAATTACAGCTCTATCAGAGATACTTTAATTTGTCTGTAAATTGTCGCCAAAATTTTGATATTTTTGAAAAGATCTATTCTAAATCTTGTTTTTGTTAATATAAAACGAATTGAACGGTTATAAAATCATTATAAATCTAATAAACACTTTATTTCTGTAGAATATATATTTTCTTTTAGGCACAGCATTATTTATGTAGCAAAAATGATCATGACTGGGCGACGTTTTCCTTTGTGGGAAGTTTTTTAAGATTTTTCTGGTAGAAAAAGTGATTTTTCAGTGCACTATTTGAGCTTATTCTGTCCTTAATGTAGGGCCGTTTAATCTAACGGCCTGTTTAATCTACTGTAAAGGTAAGGCTTGTTAATCTACTGTAAACTGTAAGTACCCATTGTTTTGACGTAATTGATTGTTCAAGTAAAAAAGCATTTTCAACGTCGTTTAGAATAAATCAGTGTGTTAATAATATCACACAAGAGAATGGTGTCTTTCTGTATCCTTTCCCAGAAGAGGAGACCTGGATCATCCTCTAACTACGATGTTCGGCCCTCAATGACCTGCATAGCAAGTACAGGTACCTGAGAAATTTACTACCCTCCATGTCTAAAAGCTGGCCGAGGCTGAAGGTTTATCTTTGACCATAGGTTAAATTAGCTGGGGCAAGAAGGTAAAACATCAAAAATCACATCAGGAGACGAAGATTTATAAGAGGAGGTTTTTATAAAGATTTAGCTCTATGTTCAACTACTGCAGTAGAAGAAATTCAAAGTAAGTTTTATTTTTATTAATATATGTCTGGAGATTGTCTTGGAGAGAGGAGAAACTTTTTTGCTTCTAACAAAAACATTTTGCTTTTTCTAAAATGGTTAATCCCATTTATAGTTTTCCTAATTTCCATACTGTTAGAGAAACTTAAAAAATTATGAGAATATCTGTGGTAGCAGTATCTCGTTTTCATTCTTTGATAGATGGTTTTTATTAATTTAAAGATTAAAAATAATTTTGTTTTAACAAAAAAAATATTTTGCTAGATATAATTTGCTAAACTTTAATAGTAAAATGTTTATTTTGTTTTGAGTGTTTTAAATATGTTTCACATATTGACACCACCTTGGACCATTTTAAAATAAATTTAGTTTACTATATATTTACATTTTTATAGAGCAGTATACTATTGTATATAGTATAGTGTCATAGTAAAGTTGATGTTTTTAACTGGCTTTGCCTGTTGTGATACTGATTTAATCATAAATAAAACAAATGTTCTTCATTTTTGGCAAATTTATTAGTCCAAGATACCTAATATACATTAGATTACAAGATTTTTTTAATATACAAGAGTAGCCATCTAATTTATCAATATATACAATTATAAAAAATTACTAATTAACTTACTAAATTAATCCAGCAAGAATTAAAATTATGCAATTACTTAAAACCAGGGCCAAAGTTAAGCATCATCCAGTTCCTAGAGTGGTCACTTCCTTGGGAACGCTAAGCAGGTCCCCAGCATATATTTAGTCGATACAGGTCTGCTTTTGGCCGCTATTAAGTCCCATTGTTGCTAAAATTTACTTTCTTCCCTACTACTTATTAGGAAAATATAACGAATTCAAAGTATTTTTCACTTTTCTTTGAACACATTCCATTTAAAATCGAACTGTGAAAATAATGCCATTGGCCGTTATTTTTAATAATCATAAAAATACCCATTAAACTTGATTTTATAACTAATTTTCATACAGAAAGTTATATGATATTGTTGCGAAATAATTTTCTTTAAATTCTTTGATATTTCATAAGTATTTTTAAGAAAAACAGATACTAAATTTAAAATTTATATAGAAACTGGCAACCAGTAATACACCTTTGGTATACGTCATTGCCTTAATATCTCACCGGTCGCTTCCGACATAAAATAAGTATTTATATAAAAAACAAAAGAATTTTATTTGGGATTCGCAGACGCGGCGTGCGATGTAGACTCTAATCCTAACTTTCTGGCGCTTGAGGAATGCGACGTTATGGGAACTGGCCAGCCCATAATTTAGCCCTCTTGAGTTGTTGTTAGAGAATTGTCTGCAGGCGTACGATGTCTGTCAAGGTAGTCTTGATGCCGAGGCGCCGGTCAAGTTCTACCACGAAATTCCGCATTCCTAGGTACCTTCGTTTACGGGGGGGATTGTTAAGATTCGTCTAGTCGGAGAGACGACGCTTGCAATTCACCCTGTAAATGCTTGGAGTTATAAACTTGGGAATGTTTTTTGTTACTTTTTTACAATCATTTTTCCAATTATTTATAGGTAGTTCCAGCATGTTTCCAGTTTGCCCCATTACGAAATAGAACATTTTGATCAAGCAATTTAATCGTAATAACACAGTGGGGTCGAAAAAACGGCGTCAAGAACAGTTGGATAATTTCTTGCCAGCAAAATAATATGGTTTTTGTTCTCGAACGGCATATCTAAGGTAACGTTGCTCCAATTTTTCTATAATAAGGTAACTTTAAATATTTCTCCTCTTATTTTTGAACATTACAGGAAGTTCGTTGAAAAATCAATCACCGCAATACCGCAACCGGCTTATCTTCACCTAACCTTAAATCAGAAGTGGTTCGAGAATATATAAATGAAATACAAATAACAAGAAACGTTTAATAACTACATTGATAATTCAGAATTGAAAATACGTAAGCTGCATAGAAATATGTGACGTTCAGCAGCGATAATGAATGTAGTAATTGAAAGTAATCATAAACAAGCCAACAAACATGTTCTATGAAGCTAAAAAAGGTAAGCATAGCACCAGTTAAGTAATTGGTAAACGGCATATAGTGTATTATTATGGTGTATTATAGGTATTTATTTCTGTTTATTATAAGGTTCCATGATATTAAAAATAAATCATACAAATCATGGACATTACCGTTTCAAAAATTGTAAGCTACATTTTAACGGAAAAAAAATTACATTAAACATTGAATATATTTAACGACAGTCGCCCTCATAGCTTGTTTTATTTAGTAGTTGGTATATTACAAATGAGTGACTACTTTACAGAAAGTTCATTGTTTTATAGATGCTCTCCTGTATGATCTCACCCTATAACCAGAGAAGGTATTCACTTATGAAGTAGGAAACAGGATAAACTAATAGCTTATTGATAAAACAAAACAGATTTAATGGAATGTAAAAACATGAAATTATTATTTGTGTATGTGTTTTTTGCTGGGATATTTTGTACTTTGCTTGCAATTCCCGTGGAATTCAAGCTTGGAATGGCAACAGCAGCTTATCAAATTGAGGGTGGATACAACTGTGATGGTAAGTACCCTTAAAATAAACAAAATCAAGTATACTTTTACGTACATTAAAAAGTTCCTTTATTCTATATACTGAAATGGTGATTTTCTCAAAATAAAGAAGATTATTAAGGTGTACAAAATATTTTTAGGCAAAGGGGAAAGCATATAAATTTATTCTTATACACATATACAATCAATGCAGGCAAAAAATTTGTTATATCTTAGTCTAGAAACAAGAAATATTAATAAATGACATTAGACCATATTAGCATTAAGTAAAGTAAATTGTCTTGCACTAGGACTAGCTTCATAATTTTTTTGAATTTGGCCTCAAATCTAGTCCAATCTTTGCAGGAAATATTATTATATTTATATCTGTAGAATAAATATTTTCTTTTAGACACAGCATTATTTATGCAGCAAAAAATGATCATGACTGGGCGACATTTTTCGTTGTGGAAATTTCTTTTACGATTTTTCTGATTTTCTGGTAGAAAAAGTGATTTTTCTGTGCACTATATTTGAGCTTATTCTGTCCCTTAAGGCCTGTTTAATCTGGAAACTGTAAGTACCCATTGTTTTGACGTAATTGAATATTCAGGTAAAAAGCATTTTTTACGTCTTTTTAGAATAAATCAGTGTGTTAATAATATCACACAAGAGATTGGTGTCTTTCTGTACCCTTTCCCAATAATCAAAATCAAGTATACTTTTACTTTGAAAAAAGTTCCTTTATTCTATATACTGCATAGTGATTTGTCAAAAGCTGGCGGATTATTAAGGTTTATCTTTGGTGTATAGGTTAAATTAGCTGGGGGGCAGGAAGGTAAAACATCAAAAATCACATCAGGAGACGAAGATTTATCAGAGGAGGTTTATATAAAGGCTTAGCTCTATCTTCAACTACTGCAGTACAAGAAATTCAAAGTAAGTTTTATTTTTATTAATATATGTGTTGAGATTGTCTTGGAGAGAGGAGAAACTTTTTTGCTTCTAAAACAAATATTTTGCTTCTTCTAAAATGGTTAATCCCATTTATAGTTTTCCTAATTTCCATACTTTTAGAGAAACATAAAAAATTATGAGAATATCTGTGGTAGCAGTATCTCGTTTTCATTCTTTGATAGATGGTTTTTATTAATTTAATGATTAAAAATAATTTTGTTTTATCAATAAAAATATTTTGCTAGATATAATTTGCTAAACTTTAATAGTAAATTGCTTATTTTGTTTTGAGTGTTTTAAATATATCTCGTTTTGTTTTAGACATGTTAATAATATCACACAAGAGAACGGTGTCTTTCTGCATCCTTCCACAAAAGAGGGCACCTGGATCATTCTCTGACTCTGATGTTTGGCGATTGGGGACCTGCATAGCATATATGGGTACCCAAGGAAGTTACCACCTTCTATGTCTATTAGCCGGGTGATGCTTATATAATCTTTGACCGAGGGTTCAATCAGCTGCAGGCAGATGAATATGCATCAGGAGACAAAGATTTATGATAAATGGAGGATAGCATGACATAGTTTAGCTCAATCTTGTATTTCTAAACACTAGATTACAAGGAATTAAAAGTAAGTTCTATTTTTTATATTAATTAATATATTATAGATAGAAAAAAAAATCTATATGTAATAGTTTTTGGTTTGTTGAATCAAGTTGTTAAATAAACCTAAAAAAATTAAAGTACACGTAAAATGAATTAATTTTGTATTTAGTTCTTTTTAATTCTGATTTACTGGTTGCCTATCCTTTACAAAAATAAATTTAATACCATTAAAAGCAACGTTAATTTCTTTTTCATTTTAGGAATACGTCAGTTCATTTACAAGAGTATTGAAAAACTGTGGCGACAAGAGTTTTTGCGACACGGAGTTATTTGAATGGTACTTGGCAACACGGCACTGCAAATACTGCGACACTGGCTGTGTTCAAACAATTTTCACCTTTAAAAGATGTAAGTTTTTTTTGTAATACAGTATTTTCTTGTAGTACCACATAGAGAAACGCGTGTATGTCCCCAGATTGCCTTTAAAAAACAAAAACCTTTTTTATTATTCACGTTTTGAGTAAATAATAATATTTTGCTAGATATAAGTTGCTAAACTTTAATAGTAAAGTGTTTATTCTGTTTTGAGTGTTTTAAATATGTTTCATTTTGTTTTAGACATATGTTAATAATACCACACATGAGAACGGTGTGTACCCAAGGAACTTACCACCCTCTATGTCTATTAGCTGGGTGATGATTAATCTTTGATCAAGGGTTAAATCAGCTGCAGGAAGATGAATATGCATCAGGAGACAAAGATTTATGATAAATGGGGGATAGCATGACATAATTTAGCTCAATTTTGTATTTCTAAACACTAGATTACAAGAAATTAAAAGTAAGTTTTATTTTTTATATAATTAATATATTATAGATAGAGAAAAAAAATCTATTTGTAATAGTTTTTGGTTTGTTTAATCAAGTTGTTAAATAAACCTAACAAAATTAAAGTACACGAAAAATGAATTAATTTTGAATTTAGTTCTTTTTAATTCTGATTTACTGGTTGCCTATCCTTTACAAAAATAAATTTATTACCATTAAGAGGAAATCAAAGAACAATGTTAATTTCTTTTTCATTTTAGGAATACGTCAGGTTTACGTCAGTTCATTTACAAGAGAATTGAAAAACTGTGGCGACAAGAGTTTTTGCGACACGGAGTTATTTGAATGGTACTTGGCAACACGGCACTGCAAATACTGCGACACTGGCTGTGTTCAAACAATTTTCACCTTTAAAAGATGTAAGTTTTTTTTGTAATACAGTATTTTCTAGTAGTACCACATAGAGAAACGCCTGTATGTCCCCAGATTGCCTTTAAAAAACAAAAACCTTTTTTATTATTCACGTTTTGAGTAAATAATCATATTTTGCTAGATATAAGTTGCTAAACTTTAATAGTAAAGTGTTTATTCTGTTTTGAGTGTTTTAAATATGTTTCATTTTGTTTTAGATATAATATGTTAATAATACCACACGAGAGAACGGTGATTGATGTTTGGCCATTGGGGACCTGCATGGCATATATGGGTACCCAAGTAAGTTACTTAGTATAGTGCTCCATATTTAGATATGTATATTTGGTATTTTTGGACCATGCAGGCAAACTAGTATTTTCTACGTCTTTGTCGGTGTTAGTAAAGGGGGCACCTAATGCTCAATAATTATCTACAGTAATACTTTCAGATAAAATAAAATAGTTTTACACACACGTTTCATACAATATACACTGTGACTATCGTCATATTTAAGTTAACAATTTTGCATTGTTTAATATAAGGCTTTAATAATTATAATTTTCTATTTAGGAGCGTTAAGTAGACACCTGCACAACCTAAAAGAAGAGACCTTGTGACGTTTGGCCATCATTCTGGTTTACGAGTTGTTCTTCCATTATGTGAATAAAAGTAATTAAAAGAGCGTTTCTTACTCTATATTGTACCATATAAACAATAATAATAAGCTCTTGAACCTAGACGCTAGAGGGCGTTGTCTTACAATTTAATAAACATTGCACGTTTTTTCAAAAAAATTAAATATAACAGTATATGTAATTTTAGCTGATAGGAAAGAGTAGTAAAAGCTTAAAAAGTCAGCGAAAACCGCATCTTGATATCTTCTTTCAAACCCAAGATATTAGCAAAATTATAATAAATACCAAAACATAAGCCCTTAATTACCTTATTTTGACAACACGGTATCAGTAGCCCTCTTAATTATGCCCAATTTAACAAAAAAATAAGATAGAAACAGTTAGTTTATTTTAAAATCGAAATACCAGATTACTAAAAGAACTCAAAATGTTTACATATATAATTACATCTAAATAGTATAGTATGGTACAGCTAAAATAAGCCCCCAATATAAACATGTTAGGCCAAATAAGTTAAACAAAATTAACAATTAAAAAAAAATAATAAAACAAAATTTCAAAATTGTGCCTAGACTTTATTTTTTTTATGCGATAGGTACTATGTAAAAAAGGTGTACAATCCAAAAACGTAAAGTAGTGATAAAAAATAAAATTCGGCTATATCAGAAGTTATACCAAAATGTGAAGTATGTCAAAAAATGTCAATTTTATATCTACCAAAATTCGTTTGGATCGGATAAAAAATATTAAATTGGTATCTGGAAAGAACTCTCGATTACATCCGTTATGTTTATAATTTGTTAAAGAATAGATTTTGCTACAATATGTCACGTTACCCTATACAGGGTGTGCATTTTAAATGATCCCTATCAACATACTTTCTCACTAATAAATACATTTTTAAGAATTTTTTTACATTTTCCCCTGTATATTGAAAAACAAATGAAAATTTGGCAATTCTGTAAACATAACTTTATTGATGACCGGAAATGCTCAACTTTTCTCTAATTTAACCGACCAGTCACCATTTCCCTAATAGCATATTAAGTGGAATCACTTAAAATGGACACCATGCATACCTTTAACTGTTTAGTACTTAAAGTTTATTTTTGAAATAACTAGAAATTTTAAATTTAATTTATATAATTTTAATCTAGAAAAAAAACCTAGAAACTCAATTTTTTTAATAATAAATTCTATTTTTACAAATTAATTGTGGGACACCCTGTATATTACCAAAATGTATAGTTTTCGAAACAATTAAACATTATTTAAAATGAAAATGCTCAGATATTTGTTAGTTACCATGAGAACGGTTATGACGAAATTAGAAAATCGGATTTTTTTAATAATTTTGTTTATAGTTCCAATTGATTAATTTTTAACTTTTTGAGATTCGTTGCCATGGCAACTAACAAAAATTTAAGGGTTGATATCTTCGGTTGATATGAATAATGTTTAATTGTCAATATTTGAAAACTATACATTTTGCTAATATTCCACGCCACACAAAGTCATTCAAGTTTTTAATTTAATCAGATAAAATTATAAAAATAGGGGTTTAGTATTTAAAAAAATGAGTTTTTATTTTTTTTTAGCTTAATTTTTAAACTTCATTTTTATTACCCTGTATTAATTGGGTCATGTTGCATGTATTGACAACCCTGTAGATGGTTTTATCGTTTTATTATTGTTTTGCTTGTTTTTTCTGTGTTATGTTGATAATATTGTTTTAATGTATATTATTTCAATACATTTTTTAATATTATTTGTCGTTTTATTTGTAGGACAGTTTGAGCATTAGCTCTTGAGGCCAAGAAATAATAATTTTCCTCACAAAATAAAATCACTAGTAACATATCCATTCGTTCCAGCAGCAGATCATTATTTTTCTTCATAAAATAAAGAATACTTACTTATTTAACTATTGTGGGTAAATTTTAGTAAACTGTTTAAATAATAATGTCCATACACTAATGTCGATTTTGAAAATAGTTACTAACTGTCACTAGAAAATTGCCATGGCGATACCAGCCATCTTGATTGCCATTTTATTTAAAAATCGCTTTTTATTCAAAATCCGAGATAGATAGATATAGGAAACCCTAATATAATTTGAAAGAGCATTTGAATCTGCTTCGATTTATTTAAAAAAATACAGGGTGTTGCATTTGAAATAACAAAATTTTTATGTAAAATAAATCCTTAAAATAGATCACTAATTTTTGGTACCCCTGTATAAATTTAAGGACGCAATAACATTTTTCAGTAAAGTTTATTTCTTTGCCTTTAAACTCAGCACAAGAATTAATTCTGAAAAGTAACGTACACGGTAATGATAATAAATTCTCTTGTGGCATGCATATTTAAATATCGCAAAAACCAATGCTTTAAAACATATTTAACCCTTATAATAAATGTCTTTTTTTGGGCCCAAGAATCCAAAAATGAAATAAAATACCGAGTGTTCCATAAGAAAAATATAATTTTGGTATGGATCTTAGTTCTGAGACACCCTGTAAATTTCAAAATAATTTTAAATTGTGCACATTGACTACATCTTTCCGTTTTCGTATAAATAACCGAGGCGAATGAGGTGCGCCACCCTGTATATTACATTATATTATTATTTTAATTAAACAGAAATAAAACTCTAGATTGACGCTACGTTTAAAACGTGCTTTAAAAATTCGGAAAATTAAAAGAGGTATGTCCAAGTTTCTTCTTTTTTTTGAATTTTTAAATGCTGTAGCTCCATATCATGTTCATACTAAGTTTTATAACATTTCATTAAAATAGTAGAATCAGCAACATTAATAGTTACTTTGTTTAATTCTGCTATACATATTGCATTTAATTTTCCTGCTACTTTAAGATTTTTACATCCGTTTCACCTAATTTATATAATTTTCGTAGCATATCTAAAATATAAAAATATATGATTTATTATCTAAATAAGACATATTAACAGTTATTTTCCATACCACAAAGCATAATAATATGTAGTATTAAGACATAAAAAGTATTATAAAATATAATCTTAATATCAATCCAATACGTTCAAAATTCAACCTTCACCATATTATCAAGATTTTATTTTGGCATTACAGGAAACAAGAAATTACAGTAAATTAAGAAAAGAATAATCTTAAATATACCAATATCATATATATATACCAATATACGAATACAGGATATTAAATGCTGCAATGTATTCTACGACATAAACCACCATCTCCCTTATAAAGAGTATAAGAAAAAACATAAAGATATTTTTTTTAGATTTTTAACACCCTGAAGATCAGACAGACCCTATGTTTATATGAGCTTTTTTTTTCTTAAAAATACATTAGCAGTCATACCCTGTATTTTTTTAGACTATATATTGAAAACATCCTGTTTATACATATAGTGCTCGAAGCTTTTATCGAACAAATTTTGTATCAGGAGGCAAGAAATTCTTGTTTACTCTTGTGTTGTTTTGGGGGTTGGAAATTGTTAATAATCAACAAAAACATAATTAGTAGGGCACATAATCTTGTTAAATGTGTTTTTTATTGATTTCATGGCAAAATTAGTGAAATAAAAGTAAATACCTTGTAAAAGTTATATATTCTTGTTTTGGGGCTTGGAAATTGACAAAAAAAACCACAAATACATAATTTGTACAGCACAGAATCATGTTAAATGAGGTTTTTTATTGATTTCATAGCTAAATTGGTGAACTAAATGCAAAAAGTCTTGGCCATTACATTAGCTAAGAAAATGTCTTGTAGAAGTTATAAATAGGGGTATTACTGCCTTGTTTTATAATTTATAGATGTAATAAGTCTCTATTTAACTAAGTATTACATTATTTCGCAAAATATCGAACAACAAAGTTATATTAATTGAAAATTCTGAAGGCTACCGAACCGCCACCATATTTTTGAATTTTATTTTGATTTACATGGGTTTAATAGGTCTGAAACTGCTTAATTAACTATATTTAATAATAATCTATAATTCTTTAACTATTTTAAAGGTTGAAAATCTTTTTTAAGGTAAAAATCTATTTTTTATGATATTAACAATTACGGACATTGGGGTAATTAAAATGCGATATCTATGTGAATTTTGCTTTATTCGTTTATTGTTTGTGTCATTTTATTCGGAAAACATGTAGCTACATTTCTCTGGTAATAGTTTTGTGTCCAATGTAGCTTTATATTGCTAAATTTTCATTTAAACTTGAAATTTAGGTCATAAAATTACATAATTTATCATCGGTAAAACAGAAGAAAAGCGCCAGTCGGCGCTCTCTCTAGCGTCAAAAATCGGGAACCGAGCGCCAAAACTCAATATCATTGGTCGTTTGCGTCCATTTTCATCATTTCTAGACGGACCGTTAACGATGTAAGGTCTTTGTCGGTTGCCTCTCCAGAATTTTTAAGGAAAAGTGCCATTTTCTTGTATATTGTGCTCGGAAATCATGTGTAGTGTATAGCTGGACTCTTAGAGAGGGTAAGTTCGACCATTTTCCTACGAATTTCCTGATATTTTTCGAAAAATCCGACCATCTAAAGGCGGCCGGTAGAAGCGCAAGATCAACAAAAAAAGTCAAAGCCACCTTTTTTTTGTTAAACTTTCCGTTTCTTTCTGTTTGCTTTTTTATACTTTCTGTTGCTATAAATAGTTCTTTTTTATGGTTGTGCCACATCGTACTGTATTAAAATAAATCATTTTCAGACTTAAATAGTTTGATGAATATAGTATGTATATTTAGAAATAAAAACCTTATATAAGGGAATAAATTATATTCAAACGATTTTCTGAAGAATATTTCTAATAGTAGTGCACTTGATATGTTTTTTCTTAAAGAGATTATATAATAAAAGAATACTTACGTAATAAATATTTTATAAAATAATCTAAATAGAGTTTAGGAACCTTTAAAATACAGAAAAATTACATCTGCTTGTATTTATACTAAATAACATTTAGAAACTTAATATAAGGTAATAATTAGTACTTAATATTGATAGTTTTTCTGAAGCTAGTAAATTTTCTTTGCTAATTCATTAATTTTATTTATTTCTTAGAGACTTTTTGCTTAGGTTTTTATGTTTCTAGATATTCTTGTCTTGTACAGGGTCCGGCATTAATGCGTCGGACATCTGTAGCTCCAAGAATAAAAAACTTGTGAATTTCGTTTAAGTCCAAACCTATATAAAGTATGTACGAGGATGTATTTTAGGAAAATATTTTAATTTCTATAGAGTGGCTCAAAAAACTGTGAGTGGATCGGGAACATATATGAACTGTAACTAAAAGATATTTTGTCTTGTTTCAGATTATGCCAGAAATTATCCAGGGTTACGGATATCCAAGGACCACGCTGCCATTGAAGAAGGAGATGACGAACAACACACCAACACATCAACAGATCTTCAAGTCGCAAAGAAACCAGGCTGCCTTTGGATGGAAGGAGAATTGGTATGGGTCTGGACACGTCATATAGCTCAGGTCGTACCTGAGCTCGGGCGCTGTATCCAGACGTGCTGCACTTCGGGAGTGAATGTGCGCCTTTACACATTTTGCTCGGTACAATCGCGGGTAGGGCCCAGCTGGACTCGAGTGATGGTAAGTACCACCATTTTCCTATCAATTTCCTGATATTTTTCGACATATCGGATGCTCTTAAAGCGGCTGGCTTGAAAGCAATTCTATTAGCTGAATGTAACGTCATTTCTTTTCTGATTGGTCGAAATTTTATCGGGCAGTGAATAAAAGTTTTGCCTTTTTTATAATTTCTGCCTGCTATAAAAAGATGTAATTTGTTGTGGATTGACAGTTTTCTAAATTTGATGTTTTTATGGTTGTACAGGATATCTATCTATTAAAATAAATAATGTTTAGACTTAGATACCTTGATGTAGGTATATAGTATTTTAGAAATAAAAGCCTTGTATAAGTGAATATATAATAATCGCTCAATCGTTTTTCTTAAAGATATATTAATAGGGGAATACTTATTTATTACATCTTTTATAAAATAATCTAAATAAAGTTTAGAAAGCTGTAAAACACAGAATTGCCTCTGCCTGTAGCTGCTTTAATTAGTGAAATATTTAATGAAAAATAACTAGTGAAATTTAGCAAAATAAAAACACTAAATCACCACAATACACCAAAAACACTTTTACTTTTACACTGGACGCGCGTTTCGCTAACCATGTTAGCATCATTAGTTTATAATCATCTGCTGATGATGCTAACATGGTTAGCGAAACGCGCGTCCAGTGTAAAAGTAAAAGTGTTTTTGGTGTATTGTGGTGATTTAGTGTTTTTATTTTGCTGTGTAACACCAAAGGTTCCAACCCTCAACTGTTAATAGTGAAATTTATATTGATAATCGGCTGATTTTTTTCTTGAAACTGATCTAAACCCTAAAAATTAAAATACTGGTTCCTTGTTTTTTAAGTTTGTGAAATATTTCTCTATAAAATATAAATATTTGTCTATGTTATTAATTGTGCATTGATTATTTTTTTTCTAAATATATTTGCATTTATTTTATCAAAGCACTTGTTCGATGTATTAGATTAGATCTTTTTTTACAAAAGATGCATTTAAATAAAATAACATTTAGATAATTAATATAGGTAGTTTATTGTAATTGATAGTTTTTCTGAAGCTAGTAAGTTTTGCTTGCTAATTCATATTTTTTTTATTTCTTAAAGACTATGTGCTTAGGGTTGATAAACTATTATATAATTTTGTTACTTCTGGCAAGATTTTCAAATAGTTTACTGATATTTTATTAAGTTTTCACCCACGACACTAATCTCTACAGAAATATGTATATATTTTTATTTTCTTTTTTTAATATTTGCAAAGAAATTTTTAAGAAATGTTTTAAAATGTAATAATGGTACTTATTGTACTTATTGTACTCTGTTACACTCTGTCTCTATGACTTTTATCTGTTTTATCTATATATATATATATATATTTTTTTTAAATACTTTTTTTATTAAATAGCTATTGAAATTTCTTGGTAACAATTTTTTTAGTACCTACAGATATACATATAGGGTGAACCAAAATTACAATATTATTCACCCACTCTTTCAAAAAGAGTCACACTAAGATTTTCAAATATTTAATGATATTTTACTATTTCTTCGTCCATTGCTAATTTCTACAGATATATATTTTATATACTTTTGTATCAGGAGGCAAGAAATTCTTGTTTACTCTTGTGTTGTTTTGGGGGTTGGAAATTGTTAAAAATCAACAAAAACATAATTAGTAGGGCACATAATCTTGTTAAATGTGTTTTTTATTGATTTCATGGCAAAATTAGTGAAATAAAAGTAAATATCTTGTAAAAGTTATATATTCTTGTTTTGGGGCTTGGAAATTGATAAAAAACTACAAATACATAATTTGTACAGCACAGAATCATGTTAAATGACGTTTTTTTATTGATTTCATAGCAAAATTGGTGAACTAAATGCAAAAAGTCTTGGCCATTACATTAGCTAAGAAAATGTCTTGTAGAAGTTATAAATAGGGGTATTACTGCCTTGTTTTATAGTTTATAGATGTAATAAGTCTCTATTTAACTAAGTATTACATTATTTTGGAAAATATCGAACAACAAAGTTATATTAATTGAAAATTCTGAAGGCTACCGAACCGCCACCATATTTTTGAATTTTATTTTGATTTACATGGGTTTAATAGGTCTGAAACTGCTTAATGAACTATATTTAATAATAATCTATAATTCTTTAACTATTTTAAAGGTTGAAAATCTTTTTTAAGGTAAAAATCTATTTTTTATGATATTAACAATTACGGACATTGGGGTAATTAAAATGCGATATCTATGTGAATTTTGCTTTATTCGTTTATTGTTTGGTGTCATTTTATTCGGAAAACATGTAGCTACATTTCTCTGGTAGTAGTTTTGTGTCCAATGTAGCGTTATATTGCTAAATTTTCATTTAAACTTGAAATTTAGGTCATAAAATTACATAATTTTTCATCGGTAAAACAGAAGAAAAGCGCTAGTCGGCGCTCTCTCTAGCGTCAAAAATCGGGAACCGAGCGCCAAAACTCAATATCATTGGTCGTTTGCGTCCATTTTCGTCATTTCTAGACAGACCGTTAACGATGTAAGGTCTTTGTCGGTTGCCTCTCCAGAATTTTGAAGGAAAAGTGCCATTTTCTTGTATATTGTGCTCGGAAATCATGTGTAGTGCATAGCTGGACTCTTAGAGAGAGGGTAAAAGTTCGACCATTTTCCTACGAATTTCCTGATATTTTTCGAAAAATCCGACCATCTAAAGGCGGCCGGTAGAAGCGCAAGATCAACAAAAAAAGTCAAAGCCACCTTTTTTTTGTTAAACTTTCCGTTTCTTTCTGTTTGCTTTTTTATACTTTCTGTTGCTATAAATAGTTCTTTTTTATGGTTGTGCCACATCGTACTGTATTAAAATAAATCATTTTCAGACTTAAATAGTTTGATGAATATAGTATGTATATTTAGAAATAAAAACCTTATATAAGGGAATAAATTATATTCAAACGATTTTCTGAAGAATATTTCTAATAGTAGTGCACTTGATATGTTTTTTCTTAAAGATATTATATAATAAAAGAATACTTACGTAATAAATATTTTATAAAATAATCTAAATAGAGTTTAGGAACCTTTAAAATACAGAAAAATTACATCTGCTTGTATTTATACTAAATAACATTTAGAAACTTAATATAAGGTAATAATTAGTACTTAATATTATAGGTATTATATAATTGATTGTTATTGATAGTTTTTCTGAAGCTAGTAAATTTTCTTTGCTAATTCATTAATTTTATTTATTTCTTAGAGACTTTTTGCTTAGGTTTTTATGTTTCTAGATATTCTTGTCTTGTACAGGGTCCGGCATTAATGCGTCGGACATCTGTAGCTCCAAGAATAAAAAAACTTGTGAATTTCGTTTAAGTCCAAACCTATATAAAGTATCTACGAGGATGTATTTTAGGAAAATATTTTAATTTCTATAGAGTGGCTCAAAAAACTGTGAGTGGATCGGGAACATATATGAACTGTAACTAAAAGATATTTTGTCTTGTTTCAGATTATGCCAGAAATTATCCAGGGTTACGGATATCCAAGGACCACGCTGCCATTGAAGAAGGAGATGACGAACAACACACGAACACAGCAACAGATCTTCAAGTCGCAAAGAAACCCGGATGGTTTTGGATGGAATGGACCAAGGATCGGTATGGGTCTGGACACGTCATATAGCTCAGGTCGTACCTGGGCTCGGGCACTGTATCCAGACGTGCTGCACTTCGGGAGTGAATGTGCGCCTTTACACATTTTGCTCGGTACAATCGCGGGTAGGGCCCAGCTGGACTCGAGTGATGGTAAGTACCACAATTTTCCTATCAATTTCCTGATATTTTTTGACATATCGGATGCTCTTAAAGCGGCTGGCTTGAAAGCAATTCTATTAGCTGAATGTAACGTCATTTCTTTTCTGATTGGTCGAAATTTTATCGGGCAGTGTATAAAAGTTTTGCCTTTTTTATAATTTCTGCCTGCTATAAAAAGATGTAATTTGTTGTGGATTGGCAGTTTTCTAAATTTGATGTTTTTATGGTTCTACAGGATATCTATGTATTAAAATAAATAATTTTTAGACTTAGATACCTTGATGTAGGTATATAGTATTTTAGAAATAAAAGCCTTGTATAAGTGAATATATAATAATCGCTCAATTTTCTGAAGAATATTTCTAATAGTAGTGCATTTGATATGGTTTTTATTCTTAAAGATATTATATAATAGGGGAATACTTATGTATTACATCTTTTATAAAATAATCTAAATAAAGTTTAGAAAGCTGTAAAACACTGAATTGCATCTGCCTGTAGCTGCTTTAATTAGTGAAATATTTAATGAAGAATAACTAGTGAAATTTATATTGATAATCGGCTGATTTTTTTCTTAAAACTGATCTAAACCCTAAAAATTAAAATACTGGTTCCTTGTTTTTTAAGTTTGTAAGATATTCCTCTATAGTCTATGTTATTAATAATTGTGCATTTTTTGATTATTTTTTTTTCTAAATATATTTGCATTCCTTTTATCAAAGCACTTGTTCGATGTATTAGATTAGATCTTTTTTTACAAAAGATGCATTTAAACAAAATAACATTTAGATAATTAATATAGGTAGTTTATTGTAATTGATAGTTTTTCTGAAGCTAGTAAGTTTTGCTTGCTAATTCATTGATTTTTTTTTATTTCTTAAAGACTATGTGCTTAGGGTTGATAAACTATTATATAATTTTGTTACTTCTGGCAAGATTTTCAAATAGTTTACTAATATTTTATTAAGTTTTCACTCACTACTAATCTCTACAGAAATATGAATATATTTTTATTTTCTTTTTTTAATACTTGCGAAGAAATTTTTCACCCGCTCTTTCAAAAACGTCACACTAAGATTTTGAAATATTTAATGATATTTTACTATTTCAGCTGTTTTCAATGATATAATTTCATTAGATTTTCCTAAAATAACGCTACTTTCCAGGCTATTTTATTGTAATTTTATTTTTATTATACTATTTCTTAATGACATCTACATAATATATTTTTTAATTAATTTTTTATTAAATAGTTATTTAAATTTCTTGGTTACAATTTATATTAGCATTTATAGGATCATAAGTATATAGGGTGAACCAAAATTACAATATATATTATTCACTCCTTTTTCAAAAACAGATCACACGAAGATTTTGAAATATTTTACTGGTGTTTTATTAATTTTTCGTATTCCCTACTAATCTCTACAGAAATATGTGTGTATTTATTGTTTTTTGTAATAATATTTGTATATACATTTTTAAGAAAAAATAGCGTATGATATAAAAAAACGGCGTCCAGTTGGCTTGGAAATGACAATCGATGACATTCCCCATATAATTTTACATACAAAAAGACAGCGTTGTTCATTTCATAGCCATCGCTGACGCCGTTTTTTTTCGATCATACAGTATTAGCTGATTTCAATGATATAACTTCATAGGATTTTTTTTTAAATAGTGCTACTTTATTGTAGTAATTTTTAATTTTAAATTTTTTATACTTTGTTCTTTTTGGCTTACTTATATCTATATTTATTTTTGAAATTATTTTTTTATTTAAATATTTTTTTTAATTTCTTGGTTAAATTTTTTTTGGAACTCAAAGGTGTGTGTATAGGGTCTCAACCGAAATTACAATATTATTCACCCACTTTTTCAAAAACAGCTCACACTATGAAAAGTTAATTTTTTTATAGTCAAATCACATTTTTCTAAATTGAGAATAATTATTTGGTTGTATACAGTATACAGGGGGTTCACGCAGTTACTTAACTTATAATATTTTACTATATTTTTTTTCTACAACCAATTTGTAAATAAATATTTTTTGCTAATGTATATATCAGTTTTTTTTTCTTTTTTCTCTATAAACATTTTAACTTTCAATAACTCCAGTCGTTGATTATTATTCAATATTATATCAAATTGTATGTATACTAGTTGAAGTCTGGCGCATCCGCCACAACATGCGGCGTCTGAAAAAAAAACTTTTTATTTTATTTTTTTAATTAAATGAAAAACAAAAAATCCGGCGACGACCGATTTTTAGAAGGGCCAATTAGCTATCTTTTAGTAAAAAAAGCAACTTTCTAGAGCAAGTCGTTATTTCAGTAGAGACGACATAGATAAACATTAGCATTTTATATATATGTAGATTATTAAAAGCCAGAGGGTTGTTTGGTTTTTTTTGTAAGTTTTTTCCTTTTTTCTTTTTTCAGATCGCAATCGAATGGGGACACACAATTGTAATTACCAAACTACACTTACTTTACCCATGCAGACGGCTCATGGAATGCTATCACGTGAAAATCCATCAACGCTCCCAGCTAGTAAGCGTGCGGTTTAATGTCTCTACTATCAGGCTCTAAAGACATGACCGCTGAGTTCGTGTTAGATTAATCCGTCGTTTTACTTAGTCTGGGTTCAATATCACAAGTGTCACTCTTTTTCTCTAACGCAAATAAAAATCTATAAGAAATGTTTATAGACTTTTATCCATGAAAACAGAGATTTTCATCTCTACACTTGAAAGTATAATTATTAAATTAAGTTAATGTCACTTTAACAGAATGAAGTATGTAATAAATGCCAGTACTTTTTAGTGCTAGTATTTTAATATAATAAACACGAGTACTTTTTAGTGCTCGTATTTTTCTAAAATCGATAGACACCAAAAAGCAGCGTTGCGGGGTGGTTGCGATGCAATCTGTGGGCTGTGGGGACTGTCGCGAGGGGCCAGTCTCGGAGGCCTGGGACTGTTTCGCCCTGGATTCGTTCTCATATTATTACAGCCCCGGTAACAGGCCGGGGTTCCCAGGTGCTCGTTGCGTTGTAGTTTGCCAGTGGGTATGTTATTCGACCGCTCCATTACCGGGCGTAAGCTTATAACATGCTATGCAGGCTATCCCATGGGGCCGGGTTGTTGTCCTAAACGTAAAGGGTGTCTGGGGAGTGGGGCTCAGCTCAATTAGAGGACTAGGAGGCTTGTAAAGGGGTGCAGTGGGTTGGGCTCATCTGACACTCTTGGACCGGAAAGGGCAGGTAAACGCTGGTCCTTGAGTGGAGGGAATGTGGCAGAAGACGTTACGTTAAATTGTCCGATCGGAACGTCATAAAACTATGTGGTTATTCTCAGCCTCCGATGTCGCCTTGCTAATTAACCACCAATATAAAGCTTTTACTAGTGAAAGTCTTTATATTTTTCCTTCTCCTCTTGAAACTGAAAAACGCAGGCATATAAACTTGTTTTCCGGGTTGCCTCGTTACTCGAAAAATACAAACCGTCGTCGAATGGTTTTTTCTCGACGACACCGTCAAATTCTTAATCTGATTCTTTTTGAGCTGGGTCGCCCTGTAGCCCGGTGATTTTTGGTCTGGCCAGGGTTCCAAGGAACAAATGTCCTCAGGAATGGAGGATCAAGCTGGTATCGGAGGGTCGAGGCTTGGCCAAGATTCCGTAAAGGTTCGAATTGACTGGAACATCACCCGCCGTGCCTTTGGGTCTCTCCGGTGTTTTGGTCTGTCCATTTAAACGGTTTATGCAGGTTCTATTTCTTGGAGTTATGACCGTTAAAACCTATTTTTTCTAAAACTTTAACGGCATATGTGCCAGGAAATCGGATCTTCAATAAACCACTCATTTTGCTAAGTATTATTGTAACAAAAATTCGTGTTTTTTATTTTTATCAAGTCTCGGTAGTGCTGAATGGAGAGTGCTAAGGTAATGGAGGTACACATCTTTTCTTATTTTACTGTTTAGTGCTAGTCTGGTCTCTAACGTTGAATCGAGGGTGCTAAGGCAATGGAGATTTCAAGTCTTTCGTTGTTCTAGTGTTTTCTTTTTAACGTTGTTTGGGATTAGGTTCGCACTAAAAATTTTGAAGAATATAATTTTTACTTTTTGTAATTTTAAACTAAATTTAATCACCCTATTCTAGTCTCTGTAATGTTGAATCGAGAGTGCTAAGGCAGTGGAGATTCCAAGTCTTCCATTGTTCTAGTGTTTTCTTTTTAGCGTTATTTGGGATTAGATTCTCTCTCATAAAAATTGAGTTCACAGCCTTTCTTGTTTTAGCGTTTCCTGTTTAGTGTTATTTGAGACTATATTCTTTCTACAAATTTAAAATATGCTATCCTAGTCTCAGTGATGTTGGATCGAGGGTGCTACGGCAATGGAGGTTACAACCTTCCTTGTTTTAGGTCTTCTTTCTGGCGTTAATGGGATTATAATAGATTCTCTCTCTTAAAAACTAAAATAGAAAACATAATTTTTGTTTAAAATAATCTTTTTTTAATGGTCTCTTGTGAATGGATGATACAATTACGATCGAAGAGTAACAGCCTTCTTGTTTTAGTATTCCCATTCACGTATAAATTAAGTAAATTCATTCTGATTTAAACTGTTTTATTCTCTATATTTTTATAAAATTTCAAATCAAACTTATAATAATTTTTATTTAGTTTACTGGTCTTTGAGATGAATGAATTGATAATGCTAAAGTAGTGCCGGTTCCAGTCTGGCGTTATTTTAGGGTTTTCTTTTCACTGTTGTAAGAGATTGGAATAAGGGACCATTTCTTTTTTAAATTTTGCTCTGCCCCATCAAATTTTTCTCTGCTCTATCGCTGTATCTAAACTATATTTTTGAGCACAACTCTCGATCTTATCTAAACTAATTTTCCTAATAATCTCATGTCAAAGCGATAGAGCTCTTTCAAAATATAAAATTTACCCTGGATGGATAGCCAACACTGAGGGGGAGGGACATACTTCTTACGTCTAATCGGAATGATGGGATGGGCCGTAGTCCAGCATATTCAGCCTAGTGTCAGTGATAGTGAGGTAAGTCTGAACACACACCTGTCTAGTTCTTTTCCATAAATCTAATTCAGAAATATTTCTATCTTTCCAGAACTATGATCGTGTACGCAGCGCGTGTTATTTGTGAATTTAGTCGGTCTGTGTTAGATGTCCTGCTACTAAAAAGTATTTCCAGGTTCTGTCGATCCTGATGACGCGTTAAATGGGATTCCCCAGGGACCGTCCGTAGTTCCTGAGGGACCAGGGGCGTCCTTCCGCTCCCGCGGTGTGACGACACTGCTTTTTACGCCGTGTGGCAGGAATCGCCAGTGAAAGAATGTGGAATGGAGGTGAGTTGAATTTATTTGGACTTTTTGGACGCGGGCATCTTTACTGATCTTTTTTTATCGTTGTTTCAGTATGCAGATGAAGAGGAAATGTAGAAGAACCATTTCTAAAGCATAATTATAACGGTCGCGTCGGTTCGTGGTTCTGGAGCTGTTCTAAGGCTTTTCACAGCATTTTAAGGTCACACTTTTTATTTGCGTTCATACTTTCTTTGATTCGAATCATATATAATCCTTTGTATTTCTTGTCGTTTGTAAAAATCACAAGAAATAATATCTTTAATTTTTTTCGAGGTGTCTATTTCTCAAAATAATTTAAAACCAATTTGACTTTTACTCAGTTATGCTTAATTTATTATTAAAACACATTTTTTTTGCTCAAAGTTTAATGAAATGTGTGCCAGGAAATCGGATCTTCAATTAACCATTTTCTTTATTTCAAGTATTTTTATAACAAACATTATTATTTTTTATATTTTTATCTAGTCTCGGTAGTGTTGAATGGGGAATGCTAAGGTAATTGAGGTTCACAGCCTTTCTTACTTTGGTGTTTTCTGTTTAGTGTTATTTGAGATTAGATTATTTCTAAAATCATTTTTATTTTCTGTAATTTCAAACTAAATTTAATCACTCTATTCTAGTCTCTGTAATGTTGAATCGAGAGTGCTAAGCCAATGGAGATTCCAAGTCTTCCATTGTTTTAGTGTTCTCTTTTTAGCATTATTTGGGATTAGGTTCATTTTAAAAAATTCTAGAGGACATAATTTTTATTTTCTGTAATTTTAAACTAAATTTCAAACAATAACCACTCTATTCCAGTCTCTGTAATAGTTTTCTGTAGGGCATTGTCATAGGATTAAATCTAATTTTTAATTGATACAGATTTATCTCGTTAAAGACACCCTAAATTTTTCTTGTTACCTATAGTAGTAAATCTATAATTTTTGTGGCCTTGAGATGTCCGATGTGCAAGGTCTCAGTCGTAGTACCTTCTTCACTAACTGTTGCCTTAAGGTACTCTTGTCCTTAAGGCTGTTTCTGAGGAGGCACGACGATTGGTGCAGGTTTGGAACGAAGATTTTCTGGAAAAGGACAGTAGGATGGAGAGCATGGAACGAGATAAAATCAGGTATGTTATAAGATTTATTTCTTTTTTTTATTATTTTCAACTAACGTATTTTTTCTGTTGTTTCAGGTTAGTGAGCGTATATTTTTGTACAAGGGATGCATATCGTGGGGAGTGCTCTGCAAAAAACGTAAGTTTTTTTAAAAATATTTTCGTGGTTATTTTTCCTGGTTTATTTGGTTGTTCGTTTATTTCCCTGGAGATGGCGTGAGCGCGGTCCTGCAGGAGCTAAAGTCACCTGTGGGGCCCCTCACAGAAGCGAAGCAGAGTGTCGAGTCGACCTCTACCGGGGCTAAAGTCCCCTGTATGAGCGTCCTCACAGAAGCACGTTGGGTTGAGATCCGCAGGGGCTAACGTCCTCTGTGGAGGCTCCTCACAGAAGCAAAGAACATGCTTTCCTCTCGAAAGCAGCCGAAGTCCATTGGGTTGTCATGTCTATCGGTCTTTTTATTGGGTTGTTATGTCTATCGGTTTTTCTTAATTTGATGTTCTTATATTTAGCTCTGTTCATATTATCTAAGTCAAATTAAAATCTTGAAAATCTCTAACAGTTATTTTTATTTTTTTAAATTTAACATGTAGGTGTAGGTGATTTTCTTTAACTTCTTAATTTTTTTAACTCACTTTTATTTAATTATTACTATTTTTGAGTAAACGCATGTCAATATCTAGCAGTTCGATCACTAAATGTTTAATACAAATAGTCTAAATTGTCTAAATTTATTTTTATATTTCCAATTCAAGTTCAGAAAAATTCTAGGCCCCAGAAAAAATGAATCAATTTTTTTAAGTTGTGTAGTAGATATTTTTATGACTTTCTAGGCCACTATTAGTTTTAGTATTTTCTGTAATTTTAAACTAAATTCAAATCCTAATTAGTCATCCTATTATAGTCTCTGTAATGTTGAATCGAGGGTGCTAAGATAATGAGGATTCCAAGTCTTTTATTGTTTTAGTGTTTTCTTTTTAACGTTATTTGGGATTAGATTCTTTGTGATTTATACTATTTCAAAAAAAAAATTATTAACTATAATTAATTAATATCATTCTTCATATTATCTTAGTCAAATTGAAATCTAGAGAATGTCTAAAAGATTTTTTTTTATTTTCTTAAATTAAACGTGGAGGTGTAGGTAACTCTCTATAACTTCCTAATTTTTTAACTCACGTTCTTTTACTTATTACTACTTTAGAGTAAACGCATGTCAATATCTAAGCATTTCCATAACTAAATTTTCAATACAAATAGTCTAAATGTTTTAAATTTATTTTTGTATTTTCAATTCAAGTTCGGGTATGATTCTAGGGCCTAGAAAAAAGGAATCGAGTTTTTTAGTAGCGCAGTAGAAATTTTTAGGTCTTTTTGAGGTGATCATTAGTTCAGGTTTAAATTTTTGAGGTTCAAAACTTAACAGGGTCATATCTAAGTTTGGTTTATTTTCTTACAAGAGTAGGTCTTGGCGCTTTACAAAGACTGATAGCCTCTATGAGCTTCCAGTTTGAGTCGACATCTTCAGATAATTTTTGTAGAGTTCTTGTGTCTTATACGTTCGCGCTGGTAGAAGATATACTTTGTTTGAAGCTGTATACAACAGGTCAGCGTCATGTCGGAGTCAAATTGATGTCTACACAATCTCTATGTATATGGCAGTCTTTCTTTTGTTACCATATTTTACAGGTATTGGTATCAGCCTTAGACACTATTACAGCAGCCAGTTTGAGTCGATACCTGCACAATATTTTTGTGGGGTTCTTGTGTTTCATAGGTTCACATGGGTTGAAGTTCTACCACAGAACAGATACAAATTGTATCTGTTCTGTGGTTCTACTACGTTTGAAGCAAGAATGGGAATATAATGATTCATAAGTACGAGGCTTCCCAGGAACTACTGCAGCCTACTTGATTCAACGCCTTTAGAAAATTATTGTATGGTCCTTCTTGTATCTTATAGATTTATGTTGATTGAACATCTACTTTGTTTGAAGCTGTATGCAACAGGTTAGAGAGTCATGTCGAAGTCAAATTGAAGTCTACACAATTTCTATGTATGTATATGATACTCTTTTGTTGCTCCTATTTTTTTTACAGAAGTAGTTCAAGATGCTCTAGTACTATCAGTCTTTGTATGAGTCTCCAAGGAACCACAGCAGGGTCATTTTGAGTAGATATTTTTAAGGTCATCTGAATGTCTTCTGAACAGGTTCACATTGGCTCATGTTCAGTGTTTCAATTTTTTCAGCTCCAAGCTCTTCAGCGACTAACGTTCTCTGTATGAGCTGCACTGTAGGTATTGTGGTTTGGTTGTTGCATATCCTTTTTTTTCAGGGCGCTATATGTGGAATTTTTGGGAGGGTAGTGTTGAGTGCTGGGTGAAGATATAAGACAGATTTTGAATATGAAAAAAATATATAGTAATATATACTGCAGGTAAGAAAGGGAGACGCGATATCCCCAAAGCTGTTTACGGCAAGACTAGAAGAAATCTTCCGTCAACTGGACTGGACCAATAAAGGATTAAAAATTGATGGTGAATATCCTAACAATCTAAGATTCGTTGATGACTATGTCTAATTGCCAATAGTCCTGAAGAACTACAAGCCCAAATTAACGAACTGAATACAGCCAGCAGTAAAGTAGGTCTCAAAATTAATGTATCTTCTTCAAGCAAAAACTAAAGTAATGTACAACGCACTAGTAGACAGAAAAGACATTCTAATAAATAGCACAACACTAGAAATAGTAGGAGATTAACTATATTTGGGACAACTAATACAGAGCTCGGGATCTCTACCACCAGAAATCAACAGAAGAATTAAGTTAGCATGAAGTACTTCTGGAAGAAAGTCAATAATATTCAAATCCAGAATGCCACTTTATCTAAAGAAGAAAACATTCGACCAATGTGTACTACCAGTCATGACCTAGGCAGGCGAAACCTAGACAATTAAAACGAACATTATAAGAAAACTGCAGGTCGCACAACGCTCAATGGAACGAAATATACTGGGAATAACCAAGAAAGACCACAAAAGAATAGAGTGGATACGAAAAAAGACCCTCAAAAGTCAAATCTCTCAAGTGGCAATAGGCAGGATACCTGGCAAGGACGGACAACAGATGGGTCAGAAAAATTATAGCATGGTACCCACAAGGAATTAAGGGACCTAAAAGACCATGGAAAATTACAGAAAAAATTATAAATATTACAGAAAAAAGCATTATATATATTTATAATTACAGCATTCGAGTAAATACATAAAGGTAGTCAATTAAGTAAGAAAATATTATAATAAATCAGTAATTAGCTTGAATAAATGATACTGCCAAGATACTAGAATTGATTTTAATTAACAACTTCACTACGACTGAAATAAATAATGCTTTTACTCAAAATAAATTGCTTCAACTATGGTTATACATTCTTTACAATTAAAACGAACATTATAAGAAAACTGCAGGTCGCACAACGCTCAATGGAACGAAATATACTGGGAATAACCAAGAAAGACCATAAAAGAATAGAGTGGATACGAGAAAAGACCCTCAAAAGTCAAATCCCTCAAGTGGCAATAGGCAGGATACCTGGCAAGGACGGACAACAGATGGGTCAGAAAAATTATAGCATGGTACCCACAAGGAATTAAGGGACCTAAAAGACCATGATATTAGGAAATAAGCAGGGATAGCTTGAGCTAGCATAGCCAACAATAGACAACAATGGGCCCAACTACAAAGAGATTACCTAAATATATGAGGGAGGCTACACCATACTGTTTGTTGAACAATCTGTTGATGATGACTACAGGTAAGAAAGTATCTTCTTACAGCTTCATAATTTTCTAGGTTTTTAAATATGTTTTTTTTTATTTTTTAGATAAAACCATCTGCATCGAAACTGAAGTGTACAAATAAAATATATTGGATGTCTAAGTAAGAAATTTTATGAAAAAAAAACGTATAAATATGTGGCAAATTTGTGAGTTATTTTGGTAAACCATAATATTTATTATTATAAGACAAAATTCTAGTTTATAATATTTGTATTTTTATAGTCATTATATCAATACTAATACTTTTTTCTTTTTCGTGTCAAACTTCTAGGGAATATTTATCGGAAATCTGAATCCAATTATATCTTCCTTCACCATAAAGTCAAGAAAATCTTGGAAAATGGAAAAAATAAATATTTGGACATGGATAGGAGTAGAAGATAAAATTTTAAGATATTAGTAGCAGCTGCCAAATTATTTTGGTTTTTGAAATAACTACTCGCTACGGTGAGAACAACAATTATTACTTTATATTATTTTTTAACCTCTTATTGTTACCTTTTCTTAAGATTTTATATGAGTATATTATTAACCTCTTCAAGTAACTAATGTTTATTTAATATTTCAGGTTAAAACTATGTTGGATGTTCCTTCTTGGCAAGAATTTGAAGATGGGAGGCAGTTGTGAAGCGATGGACTTACAAAAAATAGGTAAGCATTTCGTTAACTTATCTTGTTTCTCTTTAGTCTCGTAACTATAGAGTAAAGCTGTAACCATGTGGTAATACCGTATGATAAAAAAAACGGCGTCCAGTTGGCTTGGAAATGAATATCATTGACATTCCCGTTTATAATTTCACATGTAAAATGACAGTGATTTTCATTTCATAGCCATCGCTGACGCCGTTTTTTTTCGATCCTATGGTATATAAGAAATTAAGAAATTATACAGTGGGAAAATTTGCGGTGACCGTGCAGTTTTAAAAAATTTTCTAAAATATACAGGAAAATTTAAAAGAAAATGAACGATTCTCAACAACTTTTTTTGCGCAAAAAGCCTCATAGACGTGTTCCTGGGGTCGACATATACCACTCCTAAAAATATTTACACTTATTTAAGGCTCACCCTGTATAGGACTGTATTTTCTAACTATTTATTAAAAAAAAACTGTTGAAAATTTTTTAAAAATACCTTGTATATTTCTTATTCATTCCATCATGCCTAGTATGAGGTTTTTTTTAATTAATCACTACTTTTATTGTGACTCCCCCTGATTTATAGCACAGATAACATTGTGTTTTATCACAGAATAGAGAATTATTCTTTATACTGTGGTTTTACTATGTTATCTGTGATTGTAGTAATTTTTTTGGAAGTAATCATAAACAGTAGTCAATATAAAACTAAAAAAATGGAAGTAACTAAGTTATTGAGTTTTTAGCGAAATACCAACTTTTTATATGAATATTTCTATTTCTCAAAGCATATTAAATGCCGTACTTTAGAGTTGTTCATTATTGTACACTATTTAAATTAATTTTACCTTGTTGAAGAATCTTTAAGAATCACAGAATATATTAACAATTAATTTATTCATATATTTACTTTATTTAACTCTAAAATAAGAATATTTAGCAGCTTTTTCAACCAAACTTTTAAATTAATGCTTTAATTTTACGTTCATAGATGGCGCACTTTAAATATTTACCGGCAAACAGATTTCTATATTTTATATCTCGAGTGCCACCTATGTTGTGATAGTGGTACTAAAAATTATTGTAGCGACATCTGTTTATTACTTTCTGAACTAACGCATAGTCTGGTGCCATCTATATATCAAAAGCTAAACTAATTCTGCGTTGGCGCCATCTATGAGAATTTCTGAGAACTTATTTTCCGTCTCTGTCTAAGTTTTCTCTCTCGCACTCGTTGCATCCTTTTTTAGCGTTTTCTCTGTCTCTCTCACACTCATTAAAAAATTCTTGCCTGTCGTTTTGGGACATAAACAAAACAAAGTTGATATAAAAAATTAACATTTAATTTTATAGAGTTAAAAAATGTTAATACATAGGCAGACAACAGATAGATATATAGTTATATAATACACGAAGCACATCTGCAAAACTTGAGAATAACGCAGTTGGTTGAAAATATATTTAAACAGTAATAATTAAGGAAAAAAAATCATTCCTTGGAATGTTTATCTCATGTAAGAGTTCACTTTCTCCTCATTTTTTTTTAAAGTTGACTCAAAATTTAACACTCGCGTAGTACACACTATAAAATATAAAACATAATACTCTTCATTGCAATGTTGTAATTGTCTTATAAAAGATTTGAAGTGTAGAGCAACTGTAGACGTACATAAGTTTAATATAAAGTCATTTGGTTGGTTTAATACACATTTATTACAGCATATCTATATCTTTTATTGTTTTATAGGGATCATTCTAATACTTACAAAGGATTTTGGGCTATAATAGAATGCAATTTTCGTAGAAGAAAGCAACCGTATCTTTCAAGGACGAATGAAGTTACGTAGGAAGTCTGTGGTAGTTTAATAGAACTTGGGATCAGTCAATCATTGATTCCGTTTAAGGTAAGTAAAAGAATGTATAACCATAGTTGAAGCAATTTATTTTGAGTAAAAGCATTATTTATTTCAGTCGTAGTGAAGTTGTTAATTAAAATCAATTCTAGTATCTTGGCACTATCATTTATTCAAGCTAATTACTGATTTATTATAATATTTTCTTACTTAATTGACTACCTTTATGTATTTGCTCGAATGCTGTAATTATAAATATATATAATGCCTTTTTCTTTAATATTTATTTTTAAATTTGTTTATGTCTAGTATGACGATCTTAATACTTATAAATATTTTTTTAATTTTACAGGATAGATATAAAATTTGAGTCATTTTCTATGGACACAAGGAAAAAGGCAAGATGTTACATAATATCTTCACAAAATTAACTGAAATCATCCCGGAATTATTTGTATTTGCAAATCGAATGATGGACCATCAAACAGGTAAAGATTTCTTACTTTTATTACAATATAAATAAACAGTTGCTTTGTGTAAATGTGGAAAATATTTAGTATTGCATAATTGCATTACTTGTAAATTTGTATTTGAAAGCACACTTAAATACAAATATACATTTTAGTTTAAAAAAAAAGTATTTCCAGAAAGTATAATTTATTAAATATTTCTTTAAATTTTTATGATTTAATCTTTTTCTTTAAAAGTTAGATATCCAAACCAAACCAACTGTGTATTATATATCTATTTTATTACATAAAAACAACATGAATTATTTAAGTTAAATATCTTAACTTACAGACGAGAGCAACTACCTATTTCATAGTATGGTGAAGAGTAATATAAGGAAAATTATTAAAGGTTATTTATCCTTCCCTCCATTTCCCATAATAAAAAAAAACTCTTATGTTATTATTTAGATATTATAGTATCTTTATTTGTAGGACTCCATAATTATTGAGGGTTGTCTAATGAAATGGTTAATGGAATAAGAAACAGTCAAAGGACAATGATTGGCTAATTGTTTATTGAAACAGCAGAAGATATAGTGCAAACATTGTTGAACAAGTAATTAAAGGTAAATATTCTGTAAATATTACTGCAAAAACAATCAAATAAAAATAACCGTTTTTTCATGGCATAAACAATACTACCGTATGATCGAATAAAAACGGCGTCAGCGATGGCTATGAAACGAAGATCGCTGTCATTTTATATGTAAAATTATATGGGAAATATCAGCGATTGTCATTTCCCAGCCAACTGGACGCCGTTTTTTTTTCGATCATACGGTATAATTCGCTATTGGTCTAATATTGTGTAGCATAATACACCTGAATTGCTATTTACTAAGTATTATTGCCTAAACTATGAATTTGAATAGAAAAACATACTGATTGGAGAAAAAAAATTGGCGTTGTCATTCACTATGTCCAGGCCAACTTTTGTCTCTAACGGGCGAGTTATGCCAACACTCTGTTTACTATATTCTATCTTACTATATTACTATATACCATGCTATATTCTATCAGCACAGCTATAAGTATATAAGTATAAAAAGCATTTTCAGTAAACGCAGAAATTATTCTTGACGAAATGGTGAATGCGCCTATTAAAAAATATTTTAAAATTCTTGAAATTAACAGGCTTAAAAAATGTAAAAGTAAAACTGAGGTAACTCTTCTTTTATCCTCTTCTTAACTCTTCTTTTTGTAACTCTTCTTTTGAGGTAATAAATTCTGATAATAATATTAGTAATTAGTAGTATTAAGATAAGTAATTTCGGTATGAATGCATGTTTTTTTATATAATTTAATGTACTTGATTGATATAATATGACCAATACTGGATGTTTTTTAAATGTGGTTCACTCCTATGACTTGTTTATCTGGCTCTTTAATTAAAAATTAGTCGTTACAGCCATGGCACTCTAGATTGAAATTTAAATTACTATTTTTTAAGAGAAAATGTCAAAAGCTTAATTTTATTTGGAATGTAATTTTCTATCAAATAAATATATTTCTATCAAATAAATATATTTCTATCAAATAGTTATATTTGCCAATTTTAAAACAAGAACTTAAAATAATATATGTACAGAATGTGTCTTAAATAAGTGCCAATATTAATAAATTAATATAATAAATTATAAAAAGTATTGAGAGCCACCAGATTTTTTCTGTATTTAAATCCCTTATTTTAGTGTCGTAACTATAGAGTAAAGCTGTAACCAACAAGCTGTTAAGCTGTTTTTTTCGTATGTTCGAAAAAAAAACGGCGTCCAGTTGGTTTGGAAATGAACATCAATGACATTCCACTCTGAGGACATTCCCCATTTAATTTTACATGTGAAATGACAGTGATTTTTATTTCATAGCCATCGCTGACGCCGTTTTTTTTCCATCGTATGGTATATCAGAAATTAAGAAATTATACCGTGGGAAAATTTGCGGTGGACGTGCAGTTCCAAAAAGTTTTCTAAAATATACAGGAAAATTTAAAAGAAAATGCAGGATTTTCAACTTTTTTTGCGCAAAAAGCCTCATAGACGTGTTCCTGGGGTCGATACATATATACCACCCCTAAAAATATTTACACTTATTTAAGGCTCACCCTGTATAGGACTGTATTTTCTAAAAATTTATTAAAAAAAACTGTTGAAAATTTAATTTTTTTTCCTATATATTTCTTATTCATTCCATTATGCTTAGTATGACGCTTTTTTTAATTAATCACTACTTTTATTGTGATTCCCCCTGATTTATAGCACAGATAACATTGCGTTTTAGCACAGAATATAGAATTATTCTTTATACTATGGTTTTACTATGTTATCTGTGATTGTAGTAATTTTTTTGGAACTAATCATATACAGTAGTCAATATAAAACTAAAAAAAATGGAAGAAACTAAGTTATTGAGTTTTTAGCGAAATGCCAACTTTTTATATGAATATCTCTATTTCTCAAAATAATTTTTACTTTGTTGGTTATCGTTTTAAAGAATCTTTAAGAATCGTAGCATATATTAAAAATTAATTTATTCAAATATTTACTTTATTTAACTCTAAAAAAAGAATATTTAGCAGCTTTTTCAACCAAATTTTTAAATTAATGCTTTAATTTTACGTTCATAGATGGCGCACTTTATTTATTTACCGACAAACAGATTCCTATATTTTATATCTCGAGCGCCACCTATGTTGTGATAGTGGTACAAAAAATATTGTAGCGACATCTGTTTATTACTTTCTGAACTAACGCATATTCTGGTGCCCTCTATGTATCAAAAGCTAAACTAATTCTGCGTTGGCGCCATCTATGAGAATTTCTGTGAACTTATTCTTCGTCTCTGTCTAAGTTTTTCTCTCTCGCACTCATTGCATAAGTTTATCCTTTTTCAGCCCTCTCTCTGTCTCTCTCACACTCATCAAAAAATTCTTGCCTGTCGTTTTGGGACATGAACAAAGTTGATATAAAAAAAATTAACATTTATTTTTATAGAGGTAAAAAATGTTAATATGATGTTAATACATAGGCACACAAAGGATAAATAGTGTCTGGTACCTTTTAGGACATCAAAACTTTAAAATTTTCTATACAGAATTGAGAAGAGGAACACTTATAATGACATTTTCTAACAAAAAGTTTTTAAAGTGATTTTAATCCTCCATAATTCCCAGTCTTTTAGAATAGCATGACAAATACAGACATTCAAAAATCAAAACAAAATTTTTATTGATGTGAAAAAAAGGTTTCAAAAACAAGACCAAAAAAATAAATTCTAGTAGATCTTTTCCTGGCTAATGTATCTGAAAATTATAATAACTATATGTGTTTACCTTTCCTAAAATTAAACAACGAGAACAAGACATTTGCAAATGCGTAGTTTAAAAAAAAATGGGAATGACAAAGAACATTATGTAATACTATACATATATCAAAAACATATTATGCACGAGAACCCATAATTTTAATAAAGGATTTTTCAGTTTAATTAAATTTCAAATTTGAAAATTGTGGCGTCAAAAGTTGAACAGATACATCCGGTAAGAGCTGTCAACGTTGAGTCAAGTTAAGGACTTACGAAGTTATTTTTTTACAATTTTTTTATATAATTTGTCTCATATTTCTTACTATTTAACTATATAGAATTAGTTTCTTATAAAACTAAAGGACATTTATTGAATAAAAACACTTGTTTCTTAATAATTTATTAAAATATTAAAGAAATGCATGATTTCATAGTTTATCTAATTATGTTCGTACCAGATAATTTCAATATAAAATAAGTTTTGTATGATATTTTATATATATACTGGAGGGAATAAATACAAATAAAAACAAATGTTTTAAATAATTTAAGAAGCATATTCTACTGAAATTTTAATAAAAACCATCCATGTTTATTAAAAAAAGCTAAAATCCAGGCATCCAAGAGCAAAAAATACTCGATCGTGATTGGTCAGTTTCGGTCGCGTGGAGATTTTGAATTTTATTCTCGTTCGATGTTGTCGGATTGTTAAAAAATGCCGAAAATCTTTTTTTCTGTATGATTTTTGTGAAATTATATTAGTTTAAATTGATCACTGGCACTATAGTAAGGGCCATTTCTATATATTTTTAATAAAACAAGTACTAGTAATGTTGTTTTGTAGAAATTTCTTTTATTTCTTCTTGTAACTACGTACTAACATTATAGTCTTTATTCTTGGTTTCGATGTATTTATAGCATTAAAAATATATTTAAACAGCTTCATTTTATGTTTATTTCATGATTTTTGTGTGTTTATGTTTATAATTACTTATTTGTTTCTTATTATTTATGACAATAAATATTTTACCTTACGTAAAAAAACGATATCAGTGGAACGTATTGAGTAAATAATAACTTTTGAGAAGAAAATTAAGCTTAATTTAGAAGAATTTTCCTATAAACAATTTTATTAGTAATAAATAAATTAATTTTATGAGCAGCTTAAAATTTACGAATGACTTCAATCTGGCAACGCCGGTCCTCCTTTTATCGTTTGCAATCGAAGGATCCGTACGTCCTCTCGTCGGTTGCATGGATTTCTTAATTTTCTCACGAAAAAGTGCGTTTAGTGTACACAATTTATGCGTAATCTGTTACTAGTGCCCTGCTTAGCCTCCTGAAAAAGTGAGTACCCATAATTTTATGTATTTTTTGGGATATTTTAGTTTAAAATTTTGGGATTTCGCAATATCCATCATGGCTGCCTTCTTCTCAATGTTCCCCATTAAGTTATTAATTTTTAAGAATATTGTTTAAATAATATACGTAGATTAATAAATAAGTATGTAAAACTATGTATTTTTGGTACTTTCTATACTGCGTGTTACATAAGGGTAAAATAGTACTACATTTTTGGTAAATTACGTAATGTATCTTTGATTTTTTGTTTAATTTTTTCGGTCAAGGAATGTTTAAATAAAATGGCCGCCTGTTGGAATTCGATGTCTTGATTTTTTCTAAATTGCTATTTTTAATTTAAATTTCTTTTTTATAGGACATACTTGGAGTTTTCTTTTATTTTAAAAAATATAATATGGGCGCATTTAATAATATTTTGAATGAGTATATAGGTTTTTGTATTTACGTTTTAAATAGGTAGGTTCATTAGGAATTTTATTACGTATTTTTTTTTTATTTAAGAATCCTACATATATTAGGTTTCAGCATTTTCTATTTTAAAATATATTTCTCTTTTAAAGCGCGTTATGTAATATTACATGTTAAAAAATAGTATTAATGTTGACAAATGATTTTTGCTAATTCAGTATTAGTTGTAAATTTGCATTGAAGAAATAAATCAATTGTTACTGAATTTTTATAAAAATTAAAATATTTCAAAAACAGTCAGTATGATTTTGAGGTAAATTTTGATCGAATGTTTTTGTGTCTTCATAGTAGAAACTAAAAATGTAATAGTATATATAGGATGTCTCAATGTTAAAAAAATATAACTTTAATATTTTTTATTTATTTGAAACACTGTAGGTTTAACTCTTAGCTTTAAATAATATGTTACAACTCTAAAAACACCTTGTGTATTTTTATTTTTTTATGTGTTACATCATGGAAATTCTTTGAATTTTGACTATATTCATTAAATTTATATTCTTTTTTTCTATGTCATATAACATCTTTATATTTTTGACATTTTTGGTATAATAATGAAGGAAAAATCTTATAAAATATTGCTGAGGAGCATCTCTTTTTTCATTTAAAATAAATATACCTATTTATATATTGTAATATTTTTATAGGTGTTCGATAATATTTTTATAGGTATTCCAATATTTTTTCTTTTTTTAGGCGCGTTATATTAATACTACAACACCACACACTGCTTCCCCACTCACGCGAGCATTGCTAGCTCTCTGTGTTGGTTAATAAAATTTCCTAATTCAACATTAGTGAATTTCGTTAGCCGATGCAGTTGGTTAACAGTGTTTTTGTCGGTGTGGATTCCCGGGCTTAAGATGACTCCAGAGCGCGGCGCGGCCTTCCCCAAGAGAGGAGACTTCTTGGGTCACCCCCTAACCCTGATGTTCGGGCATCGATGACCTGTGTAGCATGCAGAGGTACCCAAGGGAGTCACCACCCTCTGGTTTACGAGCTAGGTGTTCTAATGCTAGAGGCTTCGGCCGGATACAACCTGGCACCCAAGCTCCGAGATTTCTTCGTGCACGTATTCCGTGACCCTCGAAGAGGCAGGGGGCGGGATATCGGACACATTGAAGATGATGAGGGGGGTCCGCCTGTAGGGGGTCCCGGTGGATGTCCGTCCGACGGGTGACGAGGGTGACCCCAGACGAGGCGGCTTAATTGGGATGGGAACTGACTGGTGAGGCTTAATCGTCGACCAACGGGTCGAATCTGCATAAGGAAGGCAACCAGCACACACTCGCAGGCGGGTCGTGGAAACATTTTTTTGTTTTTTCTCTTGGTCTGCCCCGCGTCGAATTTTGAAGGCAAAAAATGTCGGGAGGAGGCGAGCATAACCAGGCCTAACTTAAACCTGTTAAAAGTAAGTCTAATTTTTTTATTTTACATTTAAATTGTAAACTTTTACTGTACTCTCTACCAAATAACTTTTTTATGTAGCAATCAAAATTTTTTTCATTTAAGTGTTGTTTATTTTAGTTTTTTTGTTACATGAGCTTCAATTTAAAGTAGAATAACTTGTATAGTAATTCGAGCAACTTTTTTAAAACTTATAGTAGATATAAGTTTAAATTCTAATTTAATTAGTTTAATTTAAAATAATTTTCTAATTTAACTTGTAGTTACTTATAAAACTAATTTTTTTTTCATTACTTATTTTTTTTTCATCTTTTTGGGACAACCCGGGTTCGCAGCGCGATTTTAAAAAACAAGAATGAAGAAGTCAGAAATTCTATCTACATGCTGCATATGATCAGTCCCAAAAAATTTCGGATTGTTCCAGGCACCGTCGAATGCCTGGAAAACGTGTTTATTGTCAACTCTACAGGATCGACCGAAATCCATGGAGCTGGGGGCATTCGATGTGCCCCATAGCAGTGAGACGCCACTGTTTTTTTCGCCGTATAATTATTATGGTGGGACTGAAAATGAACTTAAGCAAGATGCGATGGTGAGTTTTCATATTTTTACATTGTTTTTTTTTTGTTGTCTATAGCTTGTTTTTTGTTTCTTCTAGCATATGTATTTGTTAAAAATATTCCAATATTATTTTTTTTTTCTCTTACAGGTGATACGGTATGGCTTGGAGAACTTCAAAAGTCGGTTCGCGTCGTGGTTCCAAAGCAACTTTAGGTTCTCTACATTTACAGAATGTCGCATTAAGTACTCATTTTTTAATTTGCAATTTTTACATTCATTTTTACTTTTTTTCTTACTCTATACAAGGCTTTAATATAACGTTTTTTTAGTAATAATAAATGGGTTATAAAAAAATAACTCTAAAGAGACACAATTAGGTAGCATATTGTTTTTCTATTATATTTGGAAATAACTGAGGTCTTATTTTAAAATTGATAATATTGTTTAATTTTTTTAATGGTGATTTTTAATTAAACGTAAATAATGTAATTTTACATTATAATGAGAATTAAAGTATTAGTAATTTATTTTTGTTACTAAAATTAAAATCAGTTTGTTCCTGCATAAATCTTTTTAGTACTAAACCGCTTTGGAATGAATTTTTTGAGGGGACAACAGCAGGATTAGGACCGTCTTCTAGATGCCATCAGGTAAATTTATATAACTTTATATTTATCATTTTCTTTTACTAAAAAAGTGTTTTTTTTTTTAGGTAGGTGCGCTAGCGTAGTCGTTTGTTGTAGCATAATATCCCTTTTCCCCCTTTTTTAAAAATGTTTGTAAGACGCCTGAAATTTGTATAAGTTAGTTATATAAGTAGTTGAATAAGAATTGGTGAGAGTTGGAAAATAGAAGAGGACAAAGAAGATGGAAGAGGATTGCTTTGAAATAGAAGGAAAGAGATAGAAAATTTTTGAGGAAAGGAGGAGGATTTTGTTCGCTGTAATGGAAGTTTTTTGAATGAAATTTGGTGCAACTGTATTAAGGTAATTTTTTTCATCCAGTTACAAAAAGTAAATACTTATCACAACTTATATTTTTTATAGATGTTATTGATATCTTGGACATCAAGTTTCATTTATTTGCGTATTATACAAGCCTATCTATTGGTGGAAATGTAAAATGGCAGCTGGTATAACACCTTGTATGAATTATTAGTAACTCCAAAGAAGTTTTTACATAATTTAAACTGGGAAGAAGCTCATAAAAGACCAGTTTAGGCTGCAGTAGTACCAGGACCTTAAATTGGCTTCCACAACACAGATATCTTTCAAAAATGGTAAGTTTTAACAAATCATATTCTTTTTTTTAAGTTTCTGGAATGCTTGAAAATTATGATAAATATTCATTATCTACAAGTTTAATATATTGACTTTATACTTACATATATATTTTAATAGGTATTGTTATGGATTGTGGGTCCGCTAATTTAAACTCACGATAAAATACTTAACGAATTTATTTTCTCACTATATACGCGCATAATTAACTATTTGAAAATCCTTCACCATTTTGTCAACATTTGCTATTCAAAAACTAACCGTATTTTAGATAGCGGCTGCTTCTCGAACGTTTGAAAATTATCTTTATCGTTTTTTTTTTAATTTAAATTAACCTAATTTGATACTACAATTTTTCCTATTTATTTTAATTTTTAGATATCTGTTCGAGTGATGTACTGGGCGTTAACAGTTGCTGTTACAAATCTGCAAATGAGTTACTACTGTGCATACGTTTGAGGAATGTCAAGAAATGTTTTGAATGAAACCATTATGAATGATTACCATTATGCTATAAAAATGGTAAGTTATTTTTATTATTTTTTATGGCTGAAATTTTTGTATTTAACTACAAAATTGTAAGCTTCAAATTTAAAATAAAATATGTTTGAGATTGAAAATATATTAATATATTTTTTTTCAATCTTTGTAGTTATTTACAAATTTGTATCAAACAATTTTAATTTTATTTAGTATGTTTTCTTTTTGTAAAAATCTATGAATATTTGACAATATTTTAAAGAGTTACTATTGCGTTTATTTTTTAATATCTACCTAACATATTAAAAAACATATTTTTTTATTCCAAAATGTGTGAAGAAACAGACTATAAAAATTTACTTATTTATTTTTTTTTGACAGCTGTTTCCAGTCCAAGTTCCAGTTTTAATGGAAAATCTTTAATGGACACAGGAAAATGCCATTTACTGGATTGACTTCAATACCTGGTGCCTTTTAATAATGGTAAGTTATGCCTCTCAACTTATTCTTATAAAATTTAAAAATCTTATAAAAAAATTAAATTTTCCATCGTATTCAAGCTCTTTTGGCTCAATATTAACAGGCTCTATTTCTGTTTTCTTTTTTGAACTAAAACAAGAATAAAAAAGACTTAAAAGCAGGACAAAATAAAATACAGATACTGTATTACTGGTTGCATATCAGCAATCTTGAAAAAAAAATGCATAGTTTTTAAATCTTTTTTTAATAATTATTTAAATTTCCACTAAGATACACGCAATAAAATGACAAACCGAGTAAATATAAGTTGATTTTTTTTATTTTGATATTTTTAGTAAGGTAGATACCTTATTTATATTTTTTTCGACCATTAAAACCGCAAATATTATATTAATTATAATTATTTTTTATTAGAGAAAATTAACTAATTTAAGTCTATCTAAGATCTGTATTGTTTATTGTTTGTTTAATAGGACTTATTTAAATTTATATAAAAAATAGCTATTCTTTTTTTACATAATTTTGAATATTTCTTTATGTTTTAAAAAATTGATATAAAAAATTATTTAATATTTTTTTTCAATTTTAGGTATACAACGGTACAATTGCTGTTAGAAGTTAACAAGTAGTACTAGTTGCAGATAATATATTATGGTGGAGATCAAAAAGCTTTAAACGGAATGAAACTTGCAGGAAAAGTAAAGGAAAACCATTTTAGACTGTATACGTAATAGTTGTTAGAGTGGATGCAGTCCTTCATCAATGGTAAGTTATTTATCTCTTTCTTTTTATTAAATTTCTTTGACAAGGTTGAAAATTATGATAAATTTAGTATGAACAAAAAAAAAAAAAAAAAAAAAAATTTTATTAGTTAATTTTTTTGATCTTAAATTTTTTTGTACTTTTAGTGAGGTGAAGGACGGGTTTACTTGAAAGCTGTCACAACTCAACGGAACAAGCTGCAAGAAGGAACATTTTGATTGACAGAAAATGTCAGTCGTTTCAGGATGTAAAGTTAACTGTAAACAATTAAGAGGTATTTCTATTTTTTTACAGCGATAATACAAATTATAGAAAGGTTTAGGGTAAATATATAGGTTTTATATATTTTTTATGAGTATTTAAATACCTTCTACTTAATCATGTCATGCGAAATATGTAATTTCCCCAAATATATTTTTTTCATAATTTGTTTATCTATGATCTACATCTTGTATAATATACTTAAGAATTCTAATAAGGGTCTCGTTGGAGTAAATATCCAAAATATTAAGAATTTTTTATATATTCAGCTTCCTGATTTTTTGAAATCTGCGAGACCCATCCTTGTAAAAAGAGTGGCTAGTGAATGGCATATCATTATCATTGCATATTATTATTCGGTTCATAACGACAATTTGACTCGAAATATCAAGCGTGTAGTACCAAATTATTCGTAAAAAAATGGTTTTTCCAAATATGCTAATGATCCACTTTTGTTCCATTTGAAAAACTTGAGGTATGATTAAAAATACGATTTGAGGATCTTTTAACCGGCCAGGACAAGACACGAAAAACATTAGACGATCAAATCTATTTTTCTAAGGCTCCTTGATTAAGACAGCCATGGCACTCTAGATTAAATGTCAAAAGTTGACATAGTAGTAAATAGTAATTCTATTCAGAGTGTCATTTTCTATCGAATAAAGTAAAAATATATAGAGGGTCCATTTAAACATCAAAAGTTGTAGTCATTTCCGGTGAAACAGGAAAAACAATTGAATGCGTCAATGAATCGGAATTTATGTCATATATTAACATAACTAATCTGGTATTTTTATCTGAAAAAATAAAAAAGTTATAGGGGTGAGCAACTCTTTAGACGCACCCGGCATATAATATATGGTTAGGTTAGATTACGTTAGCTAATGGTAAACTGCTGATGGACACATTCCATCCAGTTCGAAAGGACCCACTCCAGGAAAGTTTTCGTGTCATAATTCGGTTTTAATATATCCTTTTTATGATAATTATGTTATTTAATAATGAATTTATACCCCCCAACTCAAGAATCATACTTCTTCAGCTAATGGTAAACTGTTGATGGACACATTCCATCCAGTTCGAAAGGACGGACTCCAGGAAAGTTTTCTCGTTATCATTCGGTTTTAATATATTCTTTTGATGATAATAATGTTATTTAATTAATAAAACAATATAATATTTTCTTCTTGTAAAGACAATCCAGGGACATCCAAGGACTGTACATTACATCGTAATTGAATCGATTCAACAAAATACGGTATTTTAAAAGGAGTAAATAAATGAATCTCATTGCCTATCGACATTTTAATTAAAGAAAGATTCTCCGCTCTTTCCGCTCGACACAACACAAACAAAAACAAAGAACAACAACTAAAGCCGTCCGAAGAAAAAAGGCCCATAATTCACTAAGGCAATCAGACTCACACTAAATCAAGCCGGGTATTCTCCGGAAGCTGTAGGCAATTTCAGTTGTAAATCCAAACTAAAACGAAATCAGCGATCGTAAGCCAGAAATTTATACCTTCGGAGTAGCCCCACGAGTCTATTTATCTTTGTTTATCTCGAGGGCGCTCAGCGGTCCCTCTCCGTTCCTGATCGGTACACCAAATCGTTTCTTTCAAAGAAAATCAAACTACTTCGTTTTAAACAAGCGTCTTTTCCGTTGTCTGGAATTAATAAGCTTGTCTGGATGGAATCAATTAACTGAGTACTAGTCTGAAACAAAGAAACTTTGTTAATAGAAACCAGCCAAGATTTCGACAAATTACATTGAAAAAAAATAAAAATAGGCCAGTAAGCGAGGGTTTTAGCAGAGAATATCTAGCTACGGAACAGAAGCTTCGTTACATGTATAAAATTGTAGGTATCAAAAGGAGACAGGCTTTTAAAGCCTGTCTCCAAATCAGATATTTTGATGCGGTAGTTTCGCTACTACATAATAGAGGGCAATAAATTTAAAAGAAAACAGTTTTTTACAAACAAAATTTAAAAGAATTTTGTGCAGTGTTGCCATTGTGTAATTCATATCGTAATACTTCCTGATAAAGCCTACCTTCAAATTTGCTACATCATTTAAACATATTAAAATAGATCAGAGCTGTTTTTTTCAGTTTGCCATGTTAGTTGGAGTTAAATCTTATGAACTAAATTACAATCAGTTCCTGACGTTTGATTGTAACTGAATCCTGAATTTTGATTGTAATTCGGCGACAATATAATAAATATTGTTCTACTATTATGATACCACTGCCTGACGTTCAATTGTGTTCATACTTTATACCGTATGATCGGGAAAAAACGGCGTTAGCGATGGCTATGAAATGAAGATCGCTGTCATTTTATATGTAAATTTATATGGGAAATAGTACATGATAATATAGTACCATATTACGATACATGATGTTCGATTGAGCTTATATAAACTTGGTATTCTACTTATCTTTAGTAACATTGTAATATTATGGTATCATGGAGCATATAAAGTGGTACCTTCTATAGTACCATATATAATACACCACTTTCTGACGTTCGATTGGGCTCATATTTGATATATACTTGCTTAATTTTGATGACATTGCAATATTATGGTACCATGAAGCCATGAAGCATATCAAGTGGTACATATCAATAATATAGTACCATAATAGATACATGGCGGTCGATATAGGGAGCTTAAACTTGGTATACTACGTACCTTCGGGTGACGACAATTTTATTAATTTTGCCTAAAATTGGGTACCTTCTAGCGCACTGTTATGTTTACTCCTTGATCTTCGATTGGGCCCATATTTGATATGCGTATTTTTTGATGATATTGCAATATTATGGTACCATGAAGAGTGGTACTATAATATAGTACCATACTACATACATGGCGTTCGATTGGGCTTAAACTTGGTATACTACGTATATTCGGTAACATTGTAATTGTAATATATTGGTACTATGATGCATGTAAAGTGGTACCTTCTATATAGTACCATATTATGATACCACTTCTTGACGTTCGATTGAGCTCATATATTTGATATATAATTTCGTATTTTTGATGACATATTGTAATATTATGATACCATGAACCATATCAAGTGGTACCATAGTATAGTACCATATTACGTACATGGCCTTCGATTGGGCTTAAACTTGGTATACTACGTATCTTCGGTGACATTGTAATATGATAGAACTATGATGCATATAAAGTGGTACCTTCTATCGTACCATATTATGATACCAATTCCTGACGTTCGATTGGGCTCGTATTTGATATATACTTGCGTATGTTTGATAACATTGCAATATTATGGTACCGTGAAGCATATCAAGAGGTACCATAAGGTAGTACCAATTACGTTTTTATAGCGTTCGATAGAGCTTAAACTTGGTATTCTACGTATCTTCGGTGACATTGTAATATTATGGCACCATGGAGCATATAAAGGTGGTACGCCCTATAGTGCTACATTATGATACCGCTTCTGACGTTCGATTGAATATTGTTGATATATACTTAGGTATGTTTGATGACATTGCAATATTATGCTATAGGCATATCAAAAGGTACCATAATGGTACCATATTACGATACCATTTCACAGCGTCGATTGGGCGCAAACGGGTGACACCACGGATCTTCGGTGACATTGCAATATTATGGTACCTTGAAGCATATCGAGTGGAGTACAATATTATGATATCATTTCCTGGATTTCGATTGGGCCCAAATTTGGTATACTTGCGTTTCTTTATAAAGATTTGTTGTGTGCTACTGCATTTTAATAAATTATTTCCATTATTATTAAACTTATATTTCATTACTAACGTTCCAGCATTAATAAATATCACTATCAATCACCCTGTATATTTTTAAAGGTAATTAAATGTATTTTCTTAGTTAATAATATAAGGTAGTGTATATTAAAAATGTATTTTTTGAGTATATGTTTTGTAATAATATACTTAAAACTATTTTAAAAGCCAAACGAATAATTAATATATGTGTGTCTGACAAGAAAAGAAGAACAGAAAGAAACTGTTATACACCAGAAAAAGAATGGGATGCCAAATAAAGGTCTTTTTGAATCTGGCAACTGTGCATATTTAGGCGAGCTTCAAGGCCATCGACGTGTCGTCGATCTAAAACCGAAAGTTCAAAATTTCCAATTATATTCTGATTATGATACTGTCGCGCCATCTAGTATTTTATTTGTGCAATTTTAGCTCTTTCATTTCGAGTATTTTTCTGTTGCGTAGCTAGATATTCTCTGGTTTTAGGGTCCAAATTCTGAACATCTGCACCGATTGACGTGAAATTTTAACAGTGAATAGAGATATATACAGGCTGTACCAGAAATAAGTGCAAATATTTTAAGGGGTGGTGGATCTGGTCAAAAGAAACATTTTTTTTCTTTACCATTTACCAAATAAGTCCAAAATAACCGAGTTATTTTACTTTGAAAATTTAAACAAAAAATGATTTTTTGCTTAATGCCTTTTCTGGATGTTCTTTCATGTAAATTTAATATACTACCTGAGTTGCATATTATCAATAAATTATGCTTTTTAACTTAAAACTAAAAAAAATTCCAAATTTTTTTTCAAAAAATTCCAAAATTTCAAATTTTTTTTTTTGCAAAAAAACTCATAGGCGTGTTTCTGAGACCGAAATATACTACCAGTTAAAATATTTGCACTTATTTCTGGGACACCCTGTATAAGAAACAAAAGTTACATAG